AATATCGGCAGTACTTCGAAGGACACCCTCATCCCGTTGAGATATGGTCGGATCACCTGAATCTTACCTATTTCCGACAAGCTCAGACATTGACCAGACGACAAGCTCGTTGGTCACTTTACCTTACCCGATTTAACTTCATTCTCCGTCACCGCCCCGGAAAGACGATGATGCGTGCCGATCCTCTGTCCAGGAGGCCAGATCATGAGAAGGGGGTGAGCAATGACAATTCCGGGCAAACTTTGCTTCAACCCGAATATTTTGCCATCCACGCGATCTCAGCCACTCATTCCTCCGAAGTTAATGATGCAAAACTTCTAGAAAGAGTGAAATCGGCACTAAAAGATGACGAAATGACCAAAGGTTACCAGCACCTATTAAAAACTGGCAAGCGAGAGTTCGGGAAAGACCTCCAAGAGTGGAACTTCGAGCGTGGGTTACTGCTACGAAGAGGAAAGGTCTACGTCCCGAAGGACTCTACGCTGCGGAATGAGCTGATCAAATTACATCATGACATTTCCACCGCCGGACACGCCGGACGATGGAAAACGCAAGAATTGATCAGCAGGAATTATTGGTGGCCAGGGCTTACCATTGATGTCAAGAAGTATGTTCAAGGCTGTGTGGCTTGTCAACGAAACAAAACAAGCAAACAAAAGCCGTATGGACTACTGCAACCTAATCCAGTACCACAAGGGCCTTGAGAAATGGTTACCTGTGACCTGATTACACAGCTACCGCCAAGCCCAGACCACAGGGGAGAAAAGAAGACTGCCATTCTGGTAGTCATCGACCGATTTACCAAACATGCTCACTACTATGCAGTAGATGACACGGTGACAGCATCGCAAGTAGCGTCGATTTTCTACAATGAAGTTTTCAAACTCCATGGAATTCCCAGGCAGATCATATCGGATCGAGGCACCCAGTTCTCAGCCAAATTATTCCAGGAGTTTTGTCAGAAACTTCACATTAAGTCGACGATGTCTACGGCTTATCACCCTGAAACGGATGGACAGACCGAACGAGTCAATCAGATTCTGGAGCAATATCTGCGTATGTACTGCAACTATCGACAAACTGACTGGGCCACATTACTGCCCACGGCGGAATTTGCATACAACAACCAAGCCTCAGAATCGACAGGTCTATCACCGTTCTTCATAGAGCATGGCCGACACCCCCGCATGGCACCCGATGTATTGGAAGGGATACAACATCCATCCCTGGAACACTTATTCCATAACCGCGACCAAGCACAGGAACAAGCACGTGCCGCTCTGTCATTAGCAGCAGAACGTATGAAATGGTATTTCGATCTTAAAAAGCAGGACGTCCCTTTCAAAGTAGGAGACGAAGTGCTTATTCGAGGGAAAGATCTCCATGTAAGAGTCAAAAGTCAGAAGCTGGCGACTCAAAACTATGGACCATTCAAGATCCTCGAAAAGATCGGAACCGTATCGTTCAAACTGCAATTACCAGCGGACATGAAGATACACCCTGTGTTCCACGCTTCAAAGCTAATTATGTTCCATCAAGACTCGATCCCTGGACGCATACCCCCCCCTAACCCTCCAGTCATCATCGACGGAGAGGAAGAATGGGACGTAGAGGAAATCCTTGATTCGAGAATCAGGTATAACAAAACTCAGTATCTTGTCAAGTGGTTAGACTATGACCATAGCGATAATACTTGGGAACCACTGGAGAACCTCACACATGTCAAAGACAAAGTAGAGGAATTCCATAAGACACATCCAGACGCTCCAAGAGCTAAGCCGCGAACACGCAAAGCGCACAAAATTGCCCTGTCTGACCACCCTGATGAGTTCATGTTTTTCTTCCGCCTTCATCCAAATGCCCGAGCACCCTACAAGGGATCTCACGAAGCTGTAGGATGGGATGTCAAGTCAGTACAAGACTTGAACATTCCCCCACATTCCAGAATGCTCGTCGGCACCGGGTTGGCGGTTGACCCCCCAAAATGGACATACATTCGAGTAGCCCCCCGAAGTGGGCTAGCCCTCAAGGGAATTGATGTCGCAGCAGGGGTAGTGGACCCGGACTACACAGGGGAAATCAAGGTTCTGCTGGTAAACACAACCAGCGAACCATTTGAGGTCAAGACAGGCGACCGTATCGCTCAGTTCATATGCGAACGCTACGCCCCAGGAATCATTTCAGAGGCAGATAGTTCGCTCGCAAAACGAACCATACGTGGCGCCAGAGGCTTTGGCTCATCAGGACGATGAACCTTGAGAAGGGGGTGATGTCACGGTTTTACCTGACAAGTCATTAAAGGAACAAATGCTATTAAGAAGCATATCATTTTTAATCATTTCTCGTCGCACAAGAAGTCACGTGACCTAAAGAGATAAGATAACGAGGCATCTAGTCACATGACCTCAGATCTCCCTCGGCATTGTCACGTGACACCGAGCTCCTCGGCATGGCGTCATATGTCGCAATCGCCATGACGCCATATTGCGTGCTCAAGAGGAGCTCCGTCTCCGTGGGTTATTATTAGGCAGCCAATCAGGATAATTGGGACATGTCATACGATTGCAGCACTGACCAGTAGGGTAGCGTGTGACTCGCTTAGGTAGTACTGTACAGTAGCATAGCAATCATGTATATAAGGACCAGCGAGACGAGGAGGAGACCTCAGTCTTATTCTCCTTCGTCCACCACTACCATCACAGAGGGGTCTTACCAGACACTCTCAGTGTGCTATACATTCTATCGCATCCTCACTTGTGTGACAGCGCCTCTACCCTCGCCAGTAAGTCTTGCTCTGCGAACAGCTACCAGGCCTCGTCAGCGGGCACGTCGTATCGCCACAGCTCGTCGCTGTTGGCTCTTAGCCAGGAGGCCCTCAAGGGGACTCTACATTTGGTTGTCTATCCTTGTCATCGGCGTGCCGTGACAGTATCTAGAGTGAACATCTAATTGGATGCTTTCTGAAAAGATTTTCAGCTGTCATTTTACCTGATTCCTGCGGTTTACTATAAGGTGGTAGGGCCGGTGCCGGCAGCGCCCGCTACGACGAGCGCAGTTACTTTGCTAACCGGCGCTTCATGCGTTTCAAGCACCGGAATCGAGTAACACCGCCTGTCGTGTAATAAGATTTGGTCCGTGGTTTATCTTTTGGAGAGATGTGGCATGAACAGGTTTGTTACTTTTTCAAATCATTTCGTTTGTCAGTCATCGTCCTAGAATTCGAATTGTGTGCGTGCCAATCCCCATAATGGGCAGCTAGTTCGGTCACTTTGCAGTAGTAGAGGAGCTCGAATACGATGTGGAAACAGAGGTACGTAAATCGACTACATGATCCCGTGAAGACGTTCATCGTGCCGCAGAACTTGAACGTGACAGCTCGCGACAGGCACTCACCGCAGACATGAAGCGATTTGTGCGCGTGGCAAATGCTTAGCAAATGTGGACAGGTTTTTTGCCTTTGCGATGTCGATTTGCTATGGTTCCTTCCCACGTTCCACATTAAGTATTTGCATATAATATTGTAAAGGTGAGGATTTAAAATTGTTTATTTAGAAAACATTTTTAAACTCACAAGATACATTTAAAATTTGATCACTCGGTATAAAATACCCAGTAGCAAATGAAGGTTCTTTGAAACCTCTCAGCTCTCCGAGATCAGTGCCACTAGATATTGCACCATAGTAACACCTTCATTTGCTGCTGGGCACATGATGCTTTTGAATTCAAAAAAAGTGTGATTACATTTGCCACCGATCAAATTTTAAATGTATCTTGCGAGTTTAAAAATGTTTTCTAAATAAACAATTTTAAATCTTCACCTTTACAATATTATATGCAAATACTTAATGTGGAACGTGGGAAGGAACCATAGCAAATCGAGATCACAAAGGCAAAAAACCTGTCCACATTTGCTAAGCATTTGCCACGTGCGCAAATCGCTTCATGTCTGCGGTGCACTGTGGCGACGGTCATACAGACGCATAGGTAAAGAGATCACGAGACATGACGAGCAATGGAGCGATCACTTCAGGGCAGACGTGTGCTGCCGATCGCTAATTTTCGCGGAGAGCCTTGTGAGCTTCAAATCGACAAGACCCACTACTGTCGTAGCGGGAATGACACTTATCGCATACATCATGACTATCTTTACAATGGGATTGAACTTATTGCTTCAGGATAAATGCTTCAAGAAGAAAACGAAACCTATCTAGCAATCAATCCGTTCGTGCTGTACACGCTGCCACTTATCGCGTGCAATATTCTCCCTACAGGCCTCCTCGCGGGGCATACGGAGCTGGGCGTGCGGATGCAACGCCGCCAGCCTCAAGTCGGCCAATCAAAGCAGTCTCGATAGCCTTGGTACCGGCCTCAATCATCGTCTCGAGCTGCTTATGGCCCGCCTCCACAAGCGCTTCAAACTGTCCCATAAGCCCTCCCGTCCTCATCAGAACAGGCGCAATGTCCACGCCGCTGAGCCCAATGGTGATCTTGCCATGGCGCGTCCTGATGACGCAGTAATCGGTGCCCGCAGAAGGCGCACCGTACTGGCTGGGAGGGTTGGCGGGACGCTCTGGGGAGGAGACAGCGACGAGCAAGTCGCGTTCGGAAGAGCGCACGACGCATGCGCGTTCGGCGAAGGCGGGCAGGAAGTGCACGCCCCTGGAGCCGTTACGGGTGTGCAGAGCGATGGCGCCGTTGAAGGTGGGCGGCAGGAAGACGGTGATGCTGCCCGAACGAGTGGAAACGTCCAAGTCCACGGCACGACCGAGTTGGACTTCGAACTGCGAGAATACAATGAGACCATGTGGGATAAGAATATTGAAAGGAGTACTCACGAGGTTCACGTTGATGCGGCCGTGGCGACTGGACAACATAACCCTCCCGCACACCGTCGTTTCCTGGCCATTGACGATACGACCGGTGCCGGAATCCGCAATTGCCAGATCGATGTTGATTGCACCGTTGCGGGATCTGAGCGCTGCGTTGACCTCACAACGCCTGGCGGGGTCCTTCTCATCGACATTTGGAATGGTGCCGAAAGCATCGCGCAAGTGGCGCGCATGATCGCGTTCGATGGAGCGATCCCGCTTGTGGGCCTTGCGTTTATCGCGGCAGGCAAATATGCCCTCAAAGGGAGAAGCAGAAAGCAAAGGATCAACGAGGTATGTCCCTGGACCGTACTCATGAGCCTCGAGCGCCAAAATGATTACCAAAATGCATACCGGAAATTGCGTCGTTCCGGGAAAACAGCGACAGGTAGTTCACGCACTGCTTGGTCGTAGGCCTGAATACAGGTAGAGGCCGAGGGGGAGGTGAAAGTGGAGGCGGAGAAGGAGCCGCCGCAGAGGGAGCACCCGATGACTCGGCTCTGGTACCGTCGTAAGGAGGCGGTGCATCAACCCGCTGCACCACCGTTAGCATTTGAGTGCGACTATTCGTACTACAACGAACCTGGGCCTGATTAGTTGAGAATGGCTGAGTCTTCTCGGCGGGGGAGAAGGTATGATCGTAAAGTAGCATCGTTCTGAAGTTCGACGAGAAGGAGAAACTGCCCACAGATGGGACGCTAGAAAGTGGAAACACTAAGGATGGCGATGGGGCCGTCCGCTGATATTATATATGTGCATGAATAGGGGGCTGTGGCGCATCGAGCGCAGTCCAGACATCCTAGCAGCGTGATGTTCCAAATTTAAACAAGAGGATCGAACTGGGCTGTGGGGATGCTTCTGTGCCTGTCCAGAGACAATGGAGGCGATGCGCCGCAGCGGAGAGTGCTGGCGTTGGCGATGGCGTTGGCGTTGGCGAAGAACTTCGGCGCGCACGTGTGGGAACAACGCCCGCATTTGGACACAATGTGGCGGACAACGTCCAATCAGATCGCAAAGTTAAATGGCTCGTATCAAGCGCATGGGAACATTTCGTGCACTCGGGTAAAATCACCATGTTGCTAATCACATCACGGCGACCATGATTGTACTAGTGGCACAGGTTTGTGTGTACTATCGCAGCACATTTCCGTCAACCAGGAGATTACGAATCGAATAATCGATGTCTGTCCTCGAAGAAACCATGCAACAGTTGTCCATAGACGAGTCCGTCACAGATGACTGGCTTACGAAAGAACTCGCGAATTCGAAGATAGTGTCCGCAGCGCAGAATCTGGAATGTTGGAAACGGGCCTCACGTCGCACACTGGACAGCAAGCCGCAGTACCTATATGGTGACATGTGCGCCCTCCTGATACATGGAGAATGTGCCGAATCCGCGGGCCGGTTGAGCGATAGAGTCCGACACGAAGCTAGGGTCTGTTCCATTCAGATGTTTTGCAAATGCATTCTGTAGTAGCATCAAATAGCATAAACGAACGATTGCAACAGTTTTCGTGTCGGCGATGAGATAGGCATCGTAACAATTCCGATCTCGGAGTATTGAGACTGATGCGGTTTCATGACTCCGGAGTTCGCCAGCTGTGAATTGATCCAATCACAGGCAGATGAGTGTAGAGCATCTGCTGTTAATCTATTGGATCCCGGGCCACAGAGAACATCAAAGCACGTCGTGCAGAATTCCGATGAGAGTGGAGGCGAATGCGGAGACGAAAGCAGTCCGGGACGCTGCACAGCTGATCACGGTGGAACACGGATATAAGCGCTGGGCACGTGCGAAATGCGTGACCGCGTCGAGGCGCAGTTCAGTTGGGAGCACGAGTCAAACTCGCCCACCTCTTCTCTGCACGGGCTCTGTACGCCATTCCAGGTGCCGGTCACATACGGATAGGATGGACACAACACCAAAGAGATTGGTACACTGGGCTTTGGATATTTCTTTCTCTGGTCTCGGTTCTCCTTTCTCGGAAGGCACTTCAACCGAGTTCACATCCACTTCAAGTCTACAATACGCGAATTCGCAACTGATCGCCCATGGCTTCACCGATATTGAATTGTCTCTTGACGGGCTGGGGACAAAAGATGCTGAGAGGGTGGTAAAGTGTTTGTTCAGCATGTTGAGTCAGCGAGTCGTGAGTTCTCTCCTCTGGTATTCATGTCAATTTCCCCATGCCGAATAGGACGACATGTCACGCACAGAAGAGCTGACCACGAAACTGCGTACATTGTCCTATGACCATGAGCGCATGGTGTCGAAATACCGAGTTGCTGAGGAGAGGGCTGCCAATGCTGAGAGGGAGATGAATGTGCACAAGTCGCGTCTGGGGTATGTTTCATGTGCATATCTTCCGGACATGCGCCTGAGTGCACTTCAGAGCCGCAACCCGAAGTCTGCAGGCTGCAGAGAACGCTCACAGGCAGACCACTGCGGAGCTTCAACGAACGCGAACCGCCTTACAGGCGTTGCGAACAGCCCATCAAACTGAGATAAAGAAGCTAGAGAAAGAGAAGGAGCGAATGACGGACCGATGGAGCAAAGTATGCGACACCCAGGTCAAACTCGGGTCTACAAGCAGCAGCTTGCGCTGTGCAAACACAGATGTTGTCGAGGCGTCTGACATTCAACCGCGGGGCAAGACTCAGGGATTCCTCGATATTGCCTTGGAGCAAACCGAGCAAGCAAGGAGGGATCTGTTCGAGAGAAACAGGAAGCTCCGAGGTCTGATTCTTTCGGCTGCGAACGACCTGCAGGGTATGATCCACGCTGCACGGAATGACGGCCGTGAGGAGGTGCGCTGATCACACGCATTCCACGCTGCATCGAGTTGACCAGTCCTCAGCCTGCTCCACTCACGTCTGCCACACTCTTCCCACTATCTCCCACCAAGACTGCTAGCGATAAGCTTTCCTCCCTGCTGACTTCTGTCAGAGAAATCATCGGACGCCTGTCCAATCCAAACCCAGATACTCTCACACCGCATACATTGTCCAGTTCTCAGGTTACAAATACGAAGCCACAAGACGCCTCGGAGATTGATCGTTTGCAGGCGGTAATTGAGACTCTTCGGAAGGAACTTGGTGCGCATCTTCTTCGGTTCCTATGGCATAACTGGATATCTTGTCCCACAGAAGAAGCACAGAAACAGGCTTCGACGTATGCTGCGCAGACGCAGGCCTTATTTGATCGGTTCGCTGAGGAAGAAAAGCCACAAGGTGATGTTGGCGAGATGAGTGTGGACCTGATGACAGCGCCTGCGCGGGACGAAGAGAAGCGGCGCCTGGATACACGTTTCAAAGAGCTGGAACAGGAACGGCAGAAGTTCACAGAGGCTGCGGTCAGACTTGGGCGAGAGAAAGCAGCATTGGAGGTAATTAACGCGTGTGTATGGATATCTGAGGATCCGCTCTAATGGTTGTGGTCGTGCGTTCACAGGCGGAACGCCTCACGTTTTTGGAAGAGAAACGCGCATGGCAAGTCCAAGTAATGTTGACCGACCTTCCGCCGACTCCTGTCCCACCAGCTGTGGAAACAGTACCGTCGCAGGAAGAAGGACAGGAGCATGCGGTACGCAGCCCTCCGCGGAAGTTGAAAGCAACCAGTATACCTTCCGGCAGAATTGGCGCGAGAAAGCCTCGTTCATCAAGGCGGTCTTCTGGGTTTGGACTCGGACTCGGACCTGTATCCTCGAAGAGAATCGTCCCGCCCTTCGAGACAGAGGTCATACCCTCTCCTAAGGTCCAGCCACCAGCGTTCGTGCTCCCACCGCCATCTCCTGCAGCGTCATTGCCCACGAACAGTGGCGTTTCATCCTCCTTGATTCCTCTCCCGACACAGGCCGAACAGACAGAGCCGTCTCAATCTGCGACATCCACTACGACGTCGAACAATCAGATTAATGCTGCATATACACAACCATCGTCGACTTCAGCACAAGCACCGCAGAGCTCATCACAAGCGAGCGCAGGTCCATCCTCCGCTCCAGCCCCGAAAACACCAGAGACCCGGCGGCCATTCCCCATGGCGAAGCCTCTCGCTGCTGCGCACATGATCCACGCCTATTCTCCCGTTAAGCCCAGTCCGCTCAGCAGGATCCTAATGCTCGCAAAATCGCCAGACAGCCCTGAGAGTGACAGTGGCAAACTGAATGCCCTGCAGGAGAGCGATAGTGACTTCTCGCCCACTCCGATGCCTATTGCGGCTGCGCCGCTCGCACGGGCACCAATTCAAAGCCTCGCGGAGCTCGGAGCCTTGGAGGATCCTGATGAGAATCCGCTGCTGGACAAGACGCCGGATGCCAAGGGTGTGAAACCACGGGCATCTCAATTCCAGACCAGGTTAACTGCGAAACAGAAAGGCAAGGGTCGGGCAGAGCCCCTCGTTCACTCTCGGTCCCGTCCTGCAGTTGCTTTGGAAAGGGAGAATATTAAGCGGGCTAAACTGATCTCTGCATCCACGGCGAATCGCTCAGTGGCTGACGGAGCCAGAGCCACTATCAAACCGGCGCCTAAGCCGTTTGCTCGGACCAAAGCGGCTAGTAAGCTGCCTGGGGTTAAAGGCGGTGCAAGGCGCGTTCCCATAGGCAGCGCGGAAGCTGCACCCACGGGGCCAACGTGGAAAGGCTGAAGCGTCAGTCTCATGACCTGTTGGATTACAGCAGCCATTCTTGCTCGGGCCATTACGAATATATACTTGCTGTTGCGATATCAAGCGCTAATCTCGAAATGCGAGCATCACTCCGAGTGAGGGGAATCAATCAACATTGTAAAGTACAGCTGCCATGGCAGTTGTTCTATTAGGGCGAGGAGATCATGAATGAGGCGAAGTAGTTGTCGATGTCCTGGAGGCCATTGAGGGGAGCGACCATGCCGATATACCCATCCGGCCGCACCACGACAATCGCTCCGGAAGGATGAATGCCGTAGGCTTCGTATCCTCCACCTCCACTTCGCTTGTACATATCGCCGTCGTCGAGGAGGAATCTGCGAGAATTTATGAAGCGGCGGCAATGGTTACGAACGACCGCATATACGCACTTGGACCAGTGAGATCTGAGGATCTCCGGTACATCGGTGTAATTTGATTGTCGCTTCTTTGCAGAACTGATTGACAGGATGTCGAAAACGGCGCCGCTGCGTCCGTGCCCAAAACGATTCAAGAACCTCTCGGGCTCGGCCAACTCCTTTGCTAGCGATCTGATGGACTTGAGCTGCGTCTTGTCAGTGGTATCTCCAGTGAACACAAGGACTTTGAAACGCATGTCCGATGGCAGTAGATCTTGCATCTCAACCGGCTGGAAGTTCGCGGCATGAATGAAGACGTGAGGAAGCACACGCTGTCCGATGATGAGGTTGCTCGCGAACGATTGATGCTTGGTATTGACGATGGCTGATGGTTGGTAATGAACGCCAATGCCACTCGTGAAAGCACCGAATGCCTGGAACGCCCTGCGAGGAGACGTGTATGAGACATTGATGCGAGGGTTGAAGGAAAAGGTCTCACTCCAGGAATTCCTCGTGCGAGACACCATCTTCGTTATCTTCAGTGCGTGGCTTTCCTGAGAACAAAGTGGCGAACTTTTTGTCGAAGTTGATCAGATCTTGCGCATACTTCCGACGTTCAAACTCGTACTGCGATGTCCGATTGTTGATGTAATCCCGGGAGCAGAAAGTTGAGAGGCTTACGGTTTTTAGAAGAGAAATGTCAGCACAGCCTCGCAGGACATGTGCAAGCTTCCATGCTGCCAGTTTTGATCGTCGGTGGACGTGATTTCTACTTAAGGTGGTTCCACACTCACCGAGATTGTGTGTGTCATTCATGCTAGCGTTCATCCCTTGACCTGAGGAATACTATTACTTCGACCCGGAATGTATGCGCGATGTATCGTACCTGCTTTGGGCGAATGTGTATGGCACGCGTCTCCAGCAATGAGAACGCGTTCGTGAACAGAGTATCTATCCGCAACTCGCTGGCCGACTGAATGCAAAACACCCTATGATTAGCAGCCATCATCATAATCATTGCAGGACGTACTGATGTAGAGCGTCCACCAATCGATCTCATGAGACGCCGATATGGTGTAAGGATACAGCGACTTGTTCGCTACTTCTAGAATATTGTCTGGTCCCATCTTGCTCCTGTCAACTCTGCCCTTCGCGTCGACAACATCCTTATCTGAAAGCTGGGTGTACAGGCGGACTTTGTCTCCCTCTCGAGGAATGACCATGCACGACCCATTGTGAGAGTGTATTGCACAGCGGTTCCGAATGTCCGGGAAGTCAGTCTCCGGGATAAGATCTACGACACCCCATATATAATCTGATAAGATAACGCGGTTTGAGCGATTGAAACGATCTGAGTGAGCGATGGATACATACCTGTCTGTTCACCCTCCATCGTTATGTCGAACTGTTTGCGGATCCACGAATGTGCGCCTGGGAAATGTGTTCGTTATTCAGCCGTTTATCACCTGGGAGTTTGACCTGCAAAGCTTACCATCACAACCGATCACGAACTTGGCATAGACGACTTCAGTATCCGGTTTCCCGTCTTCAACATCGAGATGTTTCAAGACCACCTGCGCAGCGGCTCAGCATTGGTTCGAAATAATGGGATAAAAGATATCTTACCCTTGCGGGATGCGATGTTGGGTCTTTGAGAACAGCTTCATCATCTGACAACTCGATGAATGTCGGTATGATTGGTCTTTCTACTTCGACGCCCTTCGATGCCATCGAGTCCATGAAAATCTGCTCTATTGCACCTTGATGGAGAGCCATCTATGAATTGCGCGCCATGCTAAATCCAATTGATCGACACACATATGGTCGCTGCATACCTCGAATGGGTATCGTGCAGTGGGCGCCGTAACATCGGATGCGCGATCCGTACACTGATTGAAATGGAAGGATGATGAGAATAGACACCAGAGGCTAGTGTTATCTAACTCGCCTCGATACCACCGGATGGGCTGGGATTATAGAAAGCCTGCAACGAGAATGTTCCAACGTTAGATCTACTTGAGAAAGTGGGCCGGCTACCCTACCGCCACATGCACTTGCACCGCCTCTTTGAAGAGGCGATCAGCGAGGCCATAACTCTGTTGACGGAAGTTGAGTATCGGTGAAGAGCACTGACTGTTCGCATCAGCGCACCTGGAAGACCTCGATAATCCTTGGCTGTATACCATCTGCTTGTCCAGCTTTGACCTTCGCGGGACTGAACGCTGTCACTAAGGGTATGTACAAAAGAAACAATGGCCCCTTACCGTCGGTCAACTATTCGTACGTTGACACCAGCATGAGACAGCGCCATGGCACACATCAACCCAGCAGGGCCTGCACCAATAACCAGTACATCAACGTTGCTTTCTTGCGTAAGGGAGATGGGCATGGTGGGCAGATAACGTTGAAGAAGTTGAGCTATCTAGTGCGACATTTATATTTGCTGAGCGACCCGTAATGTGGGGTAGTGACAGTGTCACTGGTGATGAGAACCAGGCAGCAGACGTGCGAAGGGGCAACATTCTGATCGAACAGCGAGCGCCGACGGCGACTGTAATTGGTTTTGCTGCTAAAGTCTTCGCACGAAAGGAAGTTTTCCTCCTCGCTTGAGACCGAGGGAGAAATGTACCCGATGAGAGGGAGGGAAAGAGATCAGCCTCAGCTTCCGTTAGACCCGTGGAAGATCACCTTACAATTCGGGAAGTACGACAACGACTGCAATCGGATGTACCTCTGCCGTTTGCGGAGGCGTTGGGGGGTTTTGCCATTCGCGACGAGCGTACTGCAGAAGCGATGATATGAGATTTCCAACAGATGTTGAGGACGGCGTTATCAAATATTTTGTTGACAGATCATCAGGGAAGCAGGGATGTTCCATCAGAGTTGATGACAGTTATAGTATGTTCTCGACCGTCTGCATGGTGGATTGACGCAATTGAAGGATCGGTATGGCGATTATTAACCCAACATGCGAGCAAAGCAGACCCACATCTGCAGCCTGCAATGACGAGCTGTCCTTGTTCACCATGTGTGTAGAATGGATTCACACGATGCACCATCGCAACTTCGACATAGACCACATGCACAGGTTCGTGCGAATTTCCTAGATCGGTATGGCCTGCTCAAGAACATAGGGGCCGCGCAATGCGGGACTATATTCAACTGTCAAACGTGGACGAACAAGGGAAGTACACACCGCAGTACATACCGTGGTGCAGGGTCAACCACGCGACGATCAAGTCCCCTTCCACTGCAATTGTCCGTCGGTTACCGTCGGCCAACTGGTGTCGCCGAGATTGCCTGCGAACTGTAACAAGCTAAAAGGCCGTCAGTAATTGACGACTCAGTGATCACTTTATACTTACGTTGGTCGGCAACCTGCGTCACGGATATCGATATTGATCCAATGTTTGAAGCAATTCCCGCCTCGTGAGAGCGAATTGTAGCTAAAACACTGAGAGCGTAATCTGCAGACAGATTGTAAAGCACGATATATGGCTTGGCGGACGGCATGCAAGACAAGGCATGCCTAGATTGTAGCGGCAGTAGGTATCCAGCACCCCGAGAATTAGTAGTAGCAGGCCAAGTTGTGAGGCGCCGTCCCACGGTCACAATGCCAACCTTTCATCTACATCTGTCAATTCGACGGAGGTATCTGAAGAGCTTATCTCAATAGAACTCAAAGTACTATACTATATTTGCCTCAGAAAGGCACTGATTGAACAGTCGCGGCTGAGCAGTGAGCGCTGAGTAGCGGCGGCAGTTGCATTCTTGCTGTTATCACCCTCGATTGAGTTGCATGGAAGAGCCATCGAAAACAACCCTAGTCGTCGTACATAGAATCCGGCTTGATATCGTACGCCTTGTTGTCGCATGTAGGTACTCCCGAGGTTCGGGTCCAACTGCGAGTCCAACTTCCGAGGAGCCTAGGTTCAACATCTTATCTGATAATCATGGGCATGAAAAGATCATCTTATCTATCGGATCGGACGCTGTGATGTTTAGCGCTCGCTACTTTCTATTCAGACAGCATGAGAATATTGTCGTACAAAGATACATTTCTAACCAACACTGCCTCGTGCGACCATCCACACACTATTTGATCAACAAGTTATAAACAGCAAGATAAGCAATCCTTGCTATCCAACGAGTCGAGGAACGCGCCGATAGCTCGCCTCGACGGATCACGCTTCGATCGCGGCTGTCCCACCATCCTATGCCTCAGCTTCAACACATTCGCACGCTTGCGCTCGCCGTCTTCTCCGAACGCCCTCATCAGAACGTCCCGCGCTTCAGCACGAACAGCCTCGACGCTGCCCTCGGGCACCTTGCCCAGACGATGCACGAGCTTCAGCCCTGGTCCGTTGCGTATTTGGAAGAGCTCGTAGCCGATGTCGAGATTGCTGCTGATGTGAGCAGCGTTCAAAGGTTGGTCGAACGCGAATGGCCAGCATATCCTGCAATCGGGCAATCGGACAGACAGTGACGTAATTTCAAAAAGCCGCAGTCAGCTGGGTAAACATATACCTAACGGGCCGATGAACATACATTGGTATGCCTTCGCTGATCGATTCGACCACACTGCTCTGTCCGCCGTGCGTGATGAACCAGGCCGTTGCCTGCAATGCAATCACACTTTAGCATGCGAAGATCCAGATCACTCCGAAGCACCAACTGGGTGGCGTAAAATCAGTTGTTGAGGTGACCAGCGGGTCAGTATGGCATCTTCATATCCCTCGACCTTCTGTAAAATGCTGTCAGGGACGGACAAATAGGGTGACGCATGGTTCAGGATCTACGCATGGACAGACATTGAGGAATGTTAACGATGGTTGATGCATATGAAACGTAGATATCCGTACGAATGGTATTTCAAGCTCAATCATCACGTCTAAGAATGCTGACAGCTTGTCTTGCTCGAGCGGCCAATAAGTAGTTCCAAACGATATCTAAATGTTCAACTATGAGATAAGTATTAAAATCAGCAACATATCGGGAGAGACGTACATAAACGAGCGTACGCTCGCCACGCTTCTTCAATATCCCATTCATGAATTCCTGTATATGGATCGACTGCTCCTTCTGCTGTGAAGTTGCCTGTTCTCCGTGGGGAACCAGCGGCCCGCATGGAAAGACCTTGCGAGAGGATTCCGCGAACCAACCCTTTAAGGCTGCGACCGTCCCCGGCTCATAACACTCCGGCGTAGCGAGCAACATTCCGTCGCATTCATTTAATACACTGAATGCATCGTCAGTGAAAGCGAGCACCACGGTAATGTGGTGGATTGCTCACTCGTACGCACCCAGCATCGCTACTCCTATTTGAGCTTTGGAACCCAGGGTCTACCAGAGCTCAGCTCGTTCACGTAGTACAGTGTCACTGTGGAAAGGACCTACACGTTGTGGCTGGATTTCATGGTCGTACATGGGCGGCAATCCTGGTATGTACACGACGCAGCCGGTGTGACCTAGCGAAATCTGACCAATCGTCAGCGACACCCATGTGGAAGTTATAATTCGGCTATCGTACCTCGCCAGCAGCCTCCTCCACTTTGATCCCCGAGCGCTCTGCTTCGTACTCACTCCTAGCACGTAGATCGCCGATCCTTCCCACTTGCTTGGGTCCCCAGAAGCGGAACGCAACGGACGCAGAGCCGGCATGCCAAGCGAAGACTTTGAAATCCTTCTTGCCGACTCTGCGTGCATGTTCCATAGCGGTACGGCCATGGAACTGAAGAAGATCATGCTGTAGATTATGACACGCTTAGATGCGGCGAATAACTCACATCTACCACGAGAGCATCAGGCGCACGGACTGGACCATAGCTCACGTCAGTATGGATACACTGGACAGCCTCCTCCTTCGCAAGTTTCTCGAAGGCAGTTGCGAAGGAGTCCTCAAGTATGCTTCTATCTTGTGTATTCGCGCTGTTGTGTGTAAGAGAGATGACCCTATCGATCCCACGGTAGTTAAATAACATGCAGCGGTCCATTCGAAGAACACCCGGACCTGACTCGGTCAAGAAGGTGCCGCTCGTCCGCGTCAAAGGATCTGAGAAGCTCGTCGCGCACACGGTCATGGATTGTCGTAATTGTGAATAACGTCACATATATTGGTCGCGACTTCGCGAGACGGGCTGCGAGGTTGCACAACGGTCGTGTATGGCCTGAATGTCAAATGCTACTGTGAGGTGTTCGCGGAGAGCAGGAGAGTTTACCTACCCCATGCTTCGTATCCGAAGAGAACGACATGATGCTGCTTGGCATGCAGGCTCCAAGATATCCCCATCGCAGAGATGTGCTTGTGAGGACGGGCGATGTCGTTACAAGGACACTAACGAAGAACTTATTATATGCGGTGCTTAAGGCAACGACACATGGCCAGAGTGCTACCCACGGATTGATATCGCCTTGAGATTCAGTCGCGGCACAACGCAGGCAGTGCTCGTGCGTTCCACCTTCCTGCATCGAAGTCAAAGTGGTCTGACCTTCATGACATTTAGCAAAGCCAATCGGGGAGCCCTAGGGCAGACTTCGCACCATACAATTTATGAAGCTCCCAGAGATAGGAGAGGCGATCCACTGTGCACCTGCGACTAGTTCCATGATCGTCACAATCACCTCTCAAAGAGCGGACGGTACCGGCAAGCGGAAGATAACAACAGAGGGCCTGGGTATGTGCAATCGTCTGACATGCACGAGAAGCATGTTTTTCTCAGAGATACGACTCGGTCATTCGTGATTGAACTAAAGCATCGGGTAAGCTTCTTATCGACTACATCAACTCAAGTCAGAATTATAAGCTAATTAGCAAGCAGCAGTTGCTCACCAGCTTGCATGATTGCCTGCATACTTAAGTTATATCATGTAGCTGGCCATTGTCCTGAGATTGTGGCAACAGCACGTTACCAATAATACTCGCAGTTTTCTCATGGTCAGTGCTTCTGGCTCCACCTTGCGAAGTTCATCTCAACGGCATCTTCTCCAGATCAAAGCCTCGTGCGGTGCTAGGTGCTCGCCAGAGCTTCCGTCCGTGCGTAACTGTGCCTCACAAAGACCGCTGCTTCAAAGACGGTGATCAAGGGATTGAAGTCGCATCGGCAAACTTGCAGCGCGCACTGTTACAACTTACAACCAGCGCTTCCGCGACCACGTGCTGCTTCCGAGCGCACCCACTTGGGCGGGTCTCTGACTCGCCATGTGCTGCAATGTGCTGCAATGTCTGTCCTAGACAACGTTTGAACTGGTAAAGCCAGGAAGAACTGATCAAAGCAGCTGCTTAACTGGCTATGCGATGGCGGACGCAGCATCGCGGTCACGTGGAGAGTGATCTGAGGCCGGATCTGGGCACTGTAGGCTCCTAGGTTCCATGAACTCGAAAGGACGGGAATAGACACAATGTTGCCCACGAGGGCGTTGTACGCCCGCAATCCAACTTTTACCGCAACCACCATCATTGACAGCGGCATCGACCAACCTTGACCGAATGACATCTGCCGAACACTCGCAATTGCAACATCTCGCTCGCACGTTGTTGCGGGAAGGCCAGCATGTCGTGGTGCTCACTGCACAGGCAATCGCATCACTAGCATGGCTCTGGCCACTTAGGGGCATATATTTCTCAGTCACCCGTGAGTGTTCTTTGCGAAATACAGTGGCTGCAACTGATTTTGGCCAAACCAAACAGATCCAGCGGTCATCCTCTCCGCTCGCGGTGCAATCCTCAAAGCCCTGGTGTCCTCGGCAGTCGTTTTCGGCACCATGTTCTTCCTGACATTCTTCCCGCAACTGGCGATCGTCGCATTCATCACTGGCCCTCTCGCCCCAGTCATCGCCTTCATCCTCGTCGGAGCCGAGACCGCCGCGATTCTGGCACTCCTCGTGCGCCCCCTGTTCTTGGAACCAGCGCTCACGCAAGTTTTCGACACCACCTTGCGTGCGCGAGGACAGGGCGACCTCGTCAGAATAGGCAAGACGCGGGCTCCTGGCGCGGGTAAGAGCGCGGCCTCGAGCGTGGAAGGCGCATTGGTGAAGCCATTGCAGATACTCTCGAAGGACGGGCTGTTCAAATATCTGCTGACTCTGCCACTCAATTTCGTCCCGGCAGTGGGTACGGCATTGTTCCTGATGTATAACGGATACAACGAAGGACCTGGGTGGCACTCTCACTACTTTCAACTGAAGGGCTTCTCGAAGAACCAGCGTGCATCCTTCGTGGAACGTAGGCGGGCGCAATATACAGCGTGAGTGTTACATCGATATCTCTCTGAAAGTCATGCAAGGTGGATTTAGTCAATTTGGATGTGACGGCAGGTTTGGGACAGTTACGCTGCTGTTCAATCTCATCCCGCTTGTCGGATTGTTCTTCAGCTTCACAAATACTGTCGGCGCTGCCATGTGGGCTGCGCAGCTCGAGGAGCAAGCCAATATCATCGATGGTCCGCCGTCGCCGCAGTCCACCAAGACAACCAAACAAGCGGTGGAACAGACGGATAAAGGGAAGGAAGGAGCACCAGTAAATGCAGAATCCGCGAAGGCAAAGTGAAGTGGCGTTGATAGGTTACGCTAGTGCAGTTGAACCAATTTCGGACTTTTCAAAGCCACATTCGGCTTCCACAGCGCAGACGTTGTTGTGATGCAAAACTGCAGTTCATCCTTGTCTGAAATGCTTTAATGGGGAATAGCTAGGTAGCCGTGAAATAGGAGTAGTGTGACAAACGCGTCCGGTCACATTATACACGCGAACGCGTACCGCGGAGTCTAAAGACGCGTTGAGGCGGCGCTGGAAGAACGCGCCAAAATAGGAAAGAGAGTGGCCACTCCGAAGATGCGGCCCACCTGCCACTCCCACCACTCTCCCCCGTCAGTCAACGGCATATATTGAGACCGTGCTCGAACTACAAACAATATTTCGGCACATCGACACATCGACACATCGTAAGTCGTGAGCTACCGCCAGACAGACCGGTGGCTACCGGCAACCACTCGCTCCCATCCTCCCTTCATCGTAACCACTACATAATCCGACCTGGCATTTTCCAGCTTCATAGAGAGCTTGCAGGGCTGTCTTGAACTTAGAACACAACCGCACACGACACCACAAGAGTAAGCCGCCAGGTTGCCTTCAATCTTCATCATCTTCACCTCGCTGACTGGGATCTTCAGTTCCGCCGTAACTACCATGCAGGCCGAATATGTTCCCCCGCTACTCAGAATCCCACAGGAGATCCACAACGACATAATGGGCCACCTTCGCCATGATCGCAAAACACTGAAGCTCTGCAGCCAAGTCCACCGCGCATGGCTCCCAGGTGCACGGATGTACCTCTTCCAGACCATCTGCATCCGCTCGTCGCAGGACTGCCACGACTTTCAGAAACTGCTTGACGAGTCCTCGCTGCTCCCTGAAGTTGACTTAACAAACTTCGTCCGTCACATAATCTTCCAGGACCTGCCCTTCCGCAGCGTAGCAGTAAGCAGGTTGGCCAAGTCGTTCTGCAAACTGGCCAAAGTCGAGGTGGTGGAACTTCGCTACTGGCTTGATGAAGAGCTGCCAGCGGGATTGGTGCACGCATTGTCCGACTCCTTTCCGTACGCTACCTCCCTGATTTTGGATGAGGTAAAGTTTCGTGACATCAAACACTTGCTGTGGCTGCTCTGTGCCTTCCCTTGCCTTGCCAATATTCGCATCAAAGACACGGTTAGATCCCTGATAGCAGCCATACCGCCGATGCAACCTCCCAGTGAGGTTCATCATGCGGACCTCTTCGGGGCACAGGCAATCAGGATCATCAACGTAAGGTCACTTACCATTGAAAACTCGCCACTTGCGGCTGCGGTAGCATCATGGGTCTCGGAAGATCCCTTCAACTTGCAGCTGCAGTACCTCTCTTTGGCATGGAACCGTGGTGCCCAGCATTCCCAAGCACTGTCCAAACTGATGCGGGCAGCCGGAAGGTCACTCGAACACCTCAAGATCACATTCGATGGGATCGAGCAGGAAAATTTCAGTGAGTTCGCCCCTACCATGGTTATGCGATCCGGCACATGACAGCTCACCTTATAATATAGAAGATGTTGTTCGCAGCTTCGACCAACTGCACCTGACCCATCTCAGATCTCTTCACTTCACCAACATCTCCTTGACGTCCGGAATGCCGATAACTCAGCATCGGTGGATGAGCCGCCTCGTCGTCTGCGTTTGCCGAGAGTCAGAACACTTCCAGTGCATCAAGATCGACCTGCGACTCAAACTTCCAGATTGTAGCGACTTTTTTGGATACGATTGGGAGCAGATTAACCAGGACCTGGGGGAGCTGGCAAACAGGTTTCCTGGATCGTATGCGTGTGTGAACGTCATCGTGCCCGACGGAGACGTGTTCGTAGAGTCTGATGTCGCGCACATCAGCAGAGTGATATCCACTAGACTTTACAATCTGTCAGGCGCGGGGATGCGTTTCCGATATGGACGGCACGCAGTGTCGATGGAGACCGAATTGCTGATGAAAAAGAACTGAAGATGTTACACGGGCAGGAAGAGCCAGCATTGCACGCTTGATGGGATCAAAGAGAGGATCTTGGGGTGGAGACTAGAGAACACGCATGCGGTGGTCGGCCTAAGGAAAGTTGACCTAAGATTTTATTACATACATAAACAGAGAACACCGGTCCTTTATACAAGACTTACAATGCCAAACTCTAGCTGGATGGTTCAGACGTGGATTACTTCACCCACACATCTCCAAGCTCCGGGCGAGTGTGGTCACTGCGGTCACCGGTGGCTGACACTCCGCAGGTCACTCTTCTTCGCCACATTGGCAGGGTACACATGAGAGCACTAGATGAGCGCTGAGTGCAGAAAAACGACTGTCTTTCTCTACGAAAGGTGAACCTAGATGAGAGCCATCAAGAGAAGCAGCTGGAAGATGTGATCGCCTTGCAGCCACGTAGCAGGTAGAGGCGCCCAGTAGAGCACAAGGATCGCGTATCAAAATGAGCAAATATTCAGGGAGCACATTCCTTAGTTTGTTAGATATCTCGATTCATCAATGCATCATCCGTGCGCCTTGCTGATGCCAGAGAGCGCAACGGTCTGTACGAAGAGTTTGGCCCAGTTAAGACCGCGACGTGAGACGGCAGCGGGGTTGTCAAATTCGCGAGAAACGTCACGTGATTGGCTGTTTCGGCAGTTGCCGAAGAACGATACAGTCGTTCCCAAGCCACCGTTCTGAGACTTCGCAGGGCTAAGCAACGACTCCGAAGGCAGGACCAGCGGCCGCAAGGTACACTCACGACAAGATGGTGAGCGAAACTGTCACTTCTCCGTTCAACTGACCTTATGTGGGGGGCGGTGACGATGCAGGCCGACCAGAAGACCGCGCCCACCAACTCCATGAAGGAGCTCCACATTGACAAGCTCGTTATTAGTGCGTATCGTGACTTTGTGAGCCAGTGGCAGATTGCCCATGCTGTGGACATCTTTGCAGACATCTCCGTTGGCGAATCCGGTGATCGCTTGACGCGAGCGTCGAAGGTGCTCGAACAGCTCACCGGTCAAACACCCGTCACCTCGAAGGCTCGCTACACCGTGCGTACGTTCGGTATCCGTCGTAACGAAAAGATCGCGGCGCACGTCACCATCCGAGGGCCGAAGGCGGAGGAGATCCTCGAGCGCGGACTGAAGGTGAAGGAGTACGAGCTCCGGCGCAAGAACTTCTCGGAGACCGGCAACTTTGGGTTCGGTATTCAGGAGCACATCGATTTGGGTGCGCGGTACGACCCTAGCATCGGTATCTTCGGTATGGATTTCTACGTCGTGATGGGCCGGCCAGGCGCGCGTGTCGCGAGGCGGAAACAGAAGAAGGCGCGCATTGGCTTCGCGCACCGGGTGAAGAAGGAGGATACGATGGCGTGGTTCAAGCAGCGTTTCGATGGTATTATTTTGGTGCGTCTGCATCCTTCTGCACTGTCTGGCTTTAACTCACGCGCTGGTCGATGTGCAGGCGAAGTAATGGTTTTCGTACATTTCTCTCTGCCGCTGCATCTTCGCTATGACCCTTCGCTCGCTATGTATTGTACATGCATCCAAAACCCTCCCGCAACGCCCGGGTGACTACTATGACTTGGTTTGTTTGCATGATATCACATTGCGCCCCTTCAATGCAAGTACATCCATCTGTCGGCGAACTCTCGTTCGTCCACGGGACATGTTTCACAACTACACGGGATCGATGGCGATCAACGATGTGGCGCGGAGCACTCCAATGTCTTGAGCAGTCAATATACTGCGTTGGGCGATGCCCTCGACATCTAGTATGGTCTACACTGATATTTGTCCAGCCTTCTGTACCGGCAGGAGCCACTGTGCGCTAGAGAATCAGTACGAACTCCACATCAAGACCAAGTACCAGGGCTATGAAAATAAGAAGTACTATGCATCACCGAGATGGATATAGGTAGACCATCTGGCCAGGAGAAGCTTCGCTCATCGCCAGCTAAATTGCTACACAATGGTTTTCCATGCCAGCGTCGACGGCATGCATACAACAAGACAAGGTAGGATGAGATCTGTACACTGGTTAATGTCATCGTGCTGGCGTACCTTGTAGTGCAGGACCGTCATGCTCTCGAGATTTCAGCTCGTCGATCAGTCTCTTTTTAGTGAGTTGCTCAGTTTTTCGACGAAACCCCCTCTGCAAATCCCTATCGACACTAATACTCGGGATTCACGGCATTCAACCCAGTAATGTAAAGCATCAACTACACCAGGAGCTCGGTGGTATCCCATGAGGTATCCAGTACACACACATATATATAATACGCCCTTAATCACAACTTCGCCTTCACCGGCTCCGCCGCCTTCTCCTTCGCCAACACCGCGTGCAAATCAAACATATCCTGCGCCGCGCGCTTCAGCTCCTCACAAAACTCCTCGTTCGGCATCTCCACTTGTGAAGTGATCGTGTACTGCAGATAATCTGTCGAGCGATAGAAGGCGAGCAGTCAGCGTTCGAATGCTCTGGCGAGACACAAGGTGGGGACGGTGCGGGGAAGAGAAAAAGTGACTGACCGTCAAAGCCCGTCATGTACGCAACGCCGAAACCGTCCGGGACGACTTCTCCCCATCCATACGGGCCAAAATGCTTCGAGAAAATCGCAGACGTGCTCAGCACCCAATAACTCGAGCGCGCAACAACCGGATCGCTAAACAAAGCCGGGACAGCCTCGCCTTCCCTAACCGCCTTCTTCAAACCTACTCACAACGTCAGCTTCCTCTCATACCAGCGCAAGCCATCCGCTTACCGAGCAAATGACGATCAACCCCCAAGCCCTTCCCAGCCATCCTCGCCACCTGCCCATGCACCTCCACCGCCCTCCCAAACAGCTCCCCCCTCTCCTTCACACCCACCCTCTTATCATCCATACTCTCAACCCACTCATCCCCCTCACGCGACACGACCCTGATCGCCTCCGTCCGGCCCTTAAAGAACCTCCGCGTCGACGCCGCCTCGTACGTCCCGCCCCTCCGCTTCTCGCCCCGCGCGCGCAGCAACCGCGCATACGCGAGCTGCACGAGCATCTGCGCCCACGAGTCGGGCGACACGCCGAATTCCTTGATCTGCCGCTTGCCGTACGCCGTGCGCACGCAGTCCATGTTCTGTGTCGCGATCAGCCCGAACACATACCCAGCCGCGTAGATGATCCCCCTCCGCGTCTCCGCAGAGATGTGCCAGTCCAGCGGCGTGGGCGTCGCGGGAGGTGACGTAACGGACGGGAGCGCGGATGCGGAGGATGCGAACTCGGGCGCGGCGATCGTGTCCAGCACGCGGTCGCACAGCGCGACGGTCGGCGTGCCGTCCATGATAGAGTGCTCGCCGACAAAGCCCGCCTTACCGTCATCCGCGACGACAAACTGCAGCGGCTTGTCCATCCACCTATTGCGCATGCCGAGGTTCTCAGCCATAGGGACTCCATCGGCGGGCACGGTGACGGCGCCGTGCCAGAGCAGCCGGCTGTGCGCGATGAAGTCTGGTGCGCCCTCCGTGTCGAGGCAGAGGACGAACGCGGAGGAATGGATGGTGCGCAGGATGGACTCGTTGTGTGGGTCTGCGGCGAGCGCGTCGTATTGCTGTGGTGGATTGAGATCGGGCAGACAGCGTGAGTGTGATTGAGACGAACCTCGGTCCAGAAGTCGCGGTCGTGAGCCGTCAGAAGTCCTACTGCAGGGTACTCCTGTTTGGTGTTCTCGTAGATATGCTCGATCTGTCTTGCAATGAAGAAAGGTGAATCGCGCTGTTCGCATGCTTTAGCAGGACGAACACGTACTTGAGCAGTTCGTCTACGCTAAGCAACCGCCCGTCCTTCCATGGTTCAAGCTTCCAAACTCGGCCACGCCGGAGGACGACGACATGGCCAGAGTCCCCGCGATCCCCTTCGCGGGCGTAGCTCACGCTCCAGTCCGCGGGCTTTCCGGGCACGCGGCAGCAGTCGAACATCCACCTGCAATGAAGATTGAGAATCGAAGCTGGCCAGACTTGAGCGGCACATTTACCTGTACGTGTCCACGCAGATTGGACCCTCTTTGGTCGCTTCAGGCGGGAGTTGCCCCAGCTTGAACTGCTCTCGGAAGAGCATGGCGCTACGCACAAGTGAGGCAGCACGGTGTGCTGGAGTCTGAGGAAGGTGCGACGGATGTTCTCTGAAGCCATCTTGTGGAGATTGAGCTACGAGAGGATATATGGAGGGAGTGTGACATACAGTAGTAGGAGACGTTTATAGCGACCTGGTGGTGCAAAATCTGTCAGATGTGTCTACGCCGGAACGTTACATCGGCGGCTCACCGAGTCACGATACGTCAGATATCCGCCGTCGTCCCACCACTCCTCGAGCCAGTGCACCGTCGATGCACGTCTCGCCTCCAGCCTTTTCTGCAGCTCCCTCGCAGGCCCTGCAGCAAACTCGTCGATCTTCCTGACAGCCGCAGCGTACTCCTGCTCATTATATGCGATCGGACGCAGGCTCTCCTTCAGCTTCACCAGCGTCTCGTCAAGCGTCGGCACCGGCAGACGGGGCAGGTTCGCCTGGGCTGCAAAGGTGAGTCCCGGGAGCGGTGCGGGAGCGAGCTCCTTCCAGTTGTGCGGGCGAAGGCGCGTCGGTCGGGCACTGGACGCCATGGTACGTGCGCTGGCGAGGATGCGGGGATGCGCTGGAGCGACGACCACGGATCGAGGGAGGCGAGTGATGAGCATGAGGATGCGGGGTAGAACACGGAGAGTGCGGGGAACTTATAGCCTACCCCAGATGGACGGGAGAGGGAGGGAGGAGGAGGGGACCGGGAGTCGGGCATGGTCCCTTTCCGAGCGTCCTTGCCCTTGGCTATTCTGCACTGGCAAGAACCAACGATCGCACTTCGCAATTCCATGTGAAAACGCGGTCACATGAGACATATCGACGCCATCTGATCATTCTCAGCGAGTGCATCATTTTGCAAGAATATCGTGGCACAACTTGTAATACATCAGTGTTCTGCGTTGACTATCGACTCTCACAGTTGCCAAATTGGGACGCCGCTTCGCCAAATAAGGAAGCTTCAGTGGCGGCGGCGGCGGCTGCCGAGCTGTATCTGAAATACTCAAACTCCGCAACGACCACTTTTATCTGCTATTCTGTAAAGTTGATTTGGAACGTGCAACGGATCGACTGTGACTGCCAAACACGCCGACTTTGGTCTATCTCCCGGACAGCGTTCAGCATTGCGGCAACCGAATGCAGCTTTTGGCCTGGCGAATCTCTCTTACTGTATATGCTACATTGAGCGTATGCTTTCTGTCCGCTTAGAATAACACTTTGCTCAGATGTTGTGATTGGAAAATCATGTCAAGGTGCAAATGCGGGCTGTAAGTACGATGACTATTGCACCTGCGCTAACTCGTAGGTCTCACGGCCACAGTGATACCCTGCTCGTCCTCCATGCCATCCTCGACATTCTCAAAAATATCAGACGTGTGCTGGACCTCGGCGCCAATGTTGACAACCAGGCGAGAGGTAAAGTCCGGCGTGCTCAGCGTGCTATGAGAACTCGTATTCAAGCCCGCGTTGCTGAGGGACACCTGGCGTAGATTGAGGATGAAGCGCGACAACAGGACTGATGAGATTCTGATTGATTCGGTAAGCATGGGTCGAGCTGAATCGGGTATGATCGGTCGCTTACGGTGGCAGGAAAAGTGCGACGTAATTTGCGGTATCCTGCTTGCACTCCAATTAAAAGTGACCATGCACTTGTATGGGTAGACTTGCCTGTGGATTCTCATAGCGGATCTTGATCACCATCTGGAGGATGATGAGAAGCAAAAGCGCCCTAATGAACGGTGGAAGAACAGAGTCATGACAAGGCACCGTGACATAGCCCGACGTACATGAAGTAGAGCGTGCCTTGAATCGACTGCTTGTAAGGCATCCCATGTACCAAGAGAGCCACACATACTCACCGTCTCTCATCAGCACCGTCGCGATCGATCCTCTCAGCCGTAGCTTCCGCACATCTATGGCGAGTCGGGATATTTTGAACCAAGTGACAAGGACCACGATCAATTCGGATACAGCCCAGCAGATGCCCGAGATGAGGATGACTGCAGAAATCGTGCGTGTCAGAGCAATAGCTCACCGGTCTTCAGCGGACTCACGTCTAAGCAAAGGTTGGTCAGTCCTAGGAGTGCCGACGTCGGAGAGGTGGACGTGGTACTTACTTCTTATCCATCGCAATGGACATGCGGGCGTTCAGGTCACAAAGTGGATAGCTGCCTATGTAAGTGACGGACGCGTATGATTGTCTTGTGAATGCAAACTGCCCAGAGGTGCTCAACAGATAGATGATGTCGGTTTACATATATACTCACGATATTGACGCCAACCGGCGCTAGCCCCAGTAGCAAGACTAGCAATGCAGGGACGATCTGGTGTCCATTAATAGCATATGTGCGGAACGCCGAAAAGCCTAACAATTTATCGGTCAATCCCTTCATCAATTGTCGGGCAATCTCTAACTTGCGATCACAGCCTCAAGAGCGACAGTCATCACGCCCTCCAATAAGTTGACAGCCTCACAGCTGCGACAATCTATAAAATGCGCTGAGCATACGGTTGCTGTCGTCGCCGCTCACCTCTGTGTGCACGTAGATCGTGAGTGCTCGACTCACTCGCAGCAGGACACGGCATGACTTACCAGTGGAGTATGCCACGAAGTGGGATGCAGTGCGAATATAAGAGCTTGTGCCATGAGCAGATAACGATTGAGGGCAAAAATGACCGTGAAAGTGGTCAATCTGGCTCCCCAGATGACGTCAACCTCTTCAGAGAAAGTCACAGTGTACTCAAAGAAGATGAGGGCTGAATATATCCAGTCTGTAAGTCGGGTTCGATCGCTCATAGTGGTCCGACCCCGGGGCGTACCGGTAGCTGCAATATAGCCGTAGCCATTGACATATCTGTGAGATTGATCGCAAACTCGTCGGTTGAACACCTCGGAAAATATCGTCGTCCTCACCCTTCCCGTAAGAGGAACGCTTCTTCTTGAGCCGATATACTGGCAGCTGATGTGTTCGACATTGTAGAGATATCAACGTCGGTGCCAATGATCAATGTGAAACAGGCCAGACAGTTCTTGGAAGGATTTAAAGGATGCCCATTGCCGCTCGACTCATCGCGTTATGTAATGCGTGATTGAGCGGACATGAACGCAGAGGGTAAGGTACAGATGGGGGCTTACGGATAGCACAGGCATCGGAGACTGCTGAAAAGGCCATCTGTCTCGCCCTCGAACAGAACAGCCGTATCGGATATGATGAGTGTGGTTCTGTCAACCGTTGGAGGTCACAGCCCATTGGGCCACCAGTGCTGTTCAGAGCGCCTCGCGCGCTGTGATGGAGGTAAGCGGCCAAACCGATCCCGTCTCCATATGCCTGTATCTACTTGACCAGATGCTAATCAATGCCTTGAATCCAAAGACACACATAGTTAATCATGAGACCTTGGCATGCTTTTCGTTCTTTCATCCTGTTGTGGACGTGTCCTTACCACCCCGCCCCCGGCCCGAGCCATGAAACCACCACCACTCGTGTGCTCACGGCCGAGGACTTCTTCATCAATGTCGCCACAAAAAATCTTGAGGACAAGGTGGCTGCCGCCGGTAGGACTAACTCTCCACGGATGGCCAGAAGGGTATATCTCTAATCTCCAGCTTTGAACATCATATCGGTACCGATGATTTCGAGTTGACAAGGGGACACGTATCGGACTCTGTGTAGGAACAACAGGGACGGGCGGTGCCCTAACGGCATCCGCTGTCCGAATGATCATTCTCTTATCGAGACAATGCGTATGCAACGCATCTCCGGTGACACGGATCATAGGGCTGCCATCGTCTATGTTTCAATCAAATATGCCAATCACAATTCCTGGCATGTCGTCGCGCAAATAAGAGCTCATCAAGACCACACAGACCCTTACACTGCTCCCACGTCGCCTTATTTGCTGCGGAACAGAGCTGGACAGGGCGTTGCCAAAGTTTGGGTCGAAGATGGCGAGACGTGATGCCCCCACTTTGGGAAGAACCATCGTATGTTTGCAGCACTCATAGGATTTCGTCCCATATTCAGCTCCCTACGCAGCCCGCTCAAGTTCCCAGCGATCGTCCGCCGCCGCATTCTGCTGTTCAAGCGCCAGCTCCCGCTGACGAATATTAGTATGGTACATCAAATGCGTGATGTCGGCGTGTAGTGTGATTGGTCGCTCGATATGTCTGATTTAGCTGTATCCTCGAGCATCTCTTTCAGTAATCATACGCCAACGATTGCCCCGCAGTACGGAGCGCAGCGGTTCCCTTCGCCTCCGACTACGCCATCACCCGGTGAGTGACGCTTAGTTGAATGCAGGAATCATGCTGATCTCGCATCTTCAAGCCTACACAACGCCGAGCGCGAGTTCGCCTCTGAGCAGTTATTTTGAATCTCCGTTCCAGCAAGAGCCGCTCGTGCACTCGAGCAACTTGTCTATTGGCACCGCGAACTATGGTAGCCACTTTTCTCTTCGCATGCGTCAGTAGGCCAACGGAATGACAGGCACTTCACCGCAGCAGCAAGCCGTGGACAAACATGTGTCAGAATTCTTCGGTTACTTTGTAGGCTTTGCATCTCTTGCGATGATTATGGGCTTCTTCATATGAGCCATCTTTAACTTGAACTACGGTCTATGGATCGTGTTAGGATGTATCCTTGCCCTTCATGGTTGTATCGGTTATCGTCGAATTGACGTCTTCAAGAAGACCGTGGTGTTCTTTACTACCAGCTTCTTGCTAACGATTACACTGGGGATAATGGCAAAGATCGTGTATGCATATTACACAATATCGTGGTGATCGGTTGAATAAGGTGTGTAACATAATTTATTATATCCTATTCCGACCTTCGTCTTACAAACAAATGTATCGCGTTCCATTGTAGCACTGAGGTGCAATGCACTGCGGCGGATGATTGCGTAGCACAGTCACGTCCGAGCGCTGATTGATATATACCGTACTGCCAGCAACGCTCTCGCTGAGTCACTTCTACTTGCCTTTCTTTCACTGCCATCACTAAAGCAAACCATTCCAATCCTCTGCCATCTCTTCCAGCCTCATATATACAAAGATTAAGAGACTGCAGCCTTCCTTTGAACGAAACACGGGAGCAGCGGTACACAACATCCTATAGCATCAAGCATCGGTCCTCGCAAAATCTCATTGCAACAGGCTCCGCATTTAGAGAAGATTTATGTATTCCAGATGAACTGTGATCATATACTTGTGACTGCAGCAGGGATTGAATGGTGCCTGGACACTTCCACCAATTGAATCAGTCGTCGATGAATATATTTGCTCCTTGACCGATGCTGAATTCCACCCTTTTCCGTTTTCCTTTTGCCTCCGAACCAGTCATTATCTGCAAGGGTTAAGCTCTAATAGACAATGCGTACGAGTGTTACGACGATTAGAAAGAACTTCTGAAGGTCTGCTTTGTACATCGAGTGTTTCGAAGGTCCTCCCTACGAGCGTTAGCCCCACTTCTGCATATCGATGTTTCTTGAATCGACTATGTATTGTACAGCACGTTTCATATACTCATATATTGACTACATTCCATCTCACGCTTTCGACTCCTGGAAAACCTTGATCACATCCTGCACATCCTCTTTGCTGCCCAAGAACACCGAGCACCGTTGGTGGATATTCGTCGGGATGATGTCGAGGATGCGCTTCGTGCCCGTCGTCGCCAATCCGCCCGCCTGCACAATTGTCAATATGTTTTGTCAAGCGAAGCGCCCACCAATCCGGATATGGGCCACGTACCTGCTCAGTCAAGAACGCCATCGGGAATGCTTCATACAGTATACGGAGCTTGCCGCTCTTCGACTTCTTGTCATCAGGATAGCCGAAGATACCGCCGTACAGCAGCGTGCGGTGAACGTCCGCGACCATGGAGCCGATGTAGCGCGCGCTATATGGTGCCTTGCCGTTGGTAGGGTACTTGAGGCTGTTGAGGTACTTAATGACCGGTGGGTAAAAGTACGTCGAGTTGCCCTCGTTGAAGGAATAGATCTTGCCCCGTGGTGGGATTTTGATCTGCATCACGGATCAACGGGTCGGTCTGACAGCCCGAGTTCCACGGTGGAATGAAATGAATACGTACGTCGGGGTGGGTGAGGATGAACTCGCCGAGCGAGGGGTCGAGTGTGTACCCGTTGACTCCGTTTCCGGTAGTCAGGACCAGGTTGGCTGATGATCCATACCTGCCGCGCGAGCGCGAAGTCAGGGGTCAGTTCGCCGAAACCGTGTCGAGTACTCACATCGTATAGCCAGCAGCGACCATCTCGTTCCCGGGTCTCAGGACATCCTCGATAGTACCCTTCGAATCTTCTTTCTGGGAGCAACTGAGCAATTCTGGGATATCTAGTGAATCATGCGAGCACTCACTACCCGGTAGATTCCGAAGATTGTGCCGACGTTGACACCAGCGTCGATGTTACTGCTCCCATCCAGGGGGTCGAACACAACGCAGTACCGTCCCCTGTACCTTTCCTCGATAAAAATGGCCTGCTCGTTTTCCTCAGAGACGAGCACGGCAGTTTTGCCGGAAGCCCGGAGCTGGCTGATCATGATATCGTTGGAGAGGACGTCCAGCTTCTTCTGCTCCTCTCCCTGTACGTTGGTCTCTCCCACCAGCCCGACGCTACGTCATCGCAGGAATTAGATGGCCCAACTGTGCTACCATCGAAGGATCACTCACAGGTTGATTAACCGTGCCTTCCGCACATTGGTCGCGATGAACTTGGATGTCGTCTGGATGGCCGTGAGGAGAAGAGTGAGGTCTCCCGTCGCCACCGCACCAAGACTGAACTGATCGTTCAAGACATGTCTGCGAAATATGATTTTAACAGAATTGTCGTCGCGAGAAAAGTCTCTAGAGCATACCGAGTGAGGGTGATGATGTCGGTGCTCGGTGGTTCCTCTCCGCTCATGATTGCAGCGGGTATACGCGTCGGAGAGTCAGGAGTGGAGACTAGGAGTTACTAGTGTGAACGTTATGTCCTAGTAGGACTATATGTAATGTTCACGCGGGGCACCCCGGAATCCGTGGAATCCGTCCAAACGGATCATCCACTGTACGGGCCGTGACGCGTGACGGGCCGTGCCTGTTACTGCATCGCGCATCGATCAATATCATTGGCCGCAATCATTGCTCGAGAATTCAATCTTATTTATTGCTCAGATTTCTCTTCTGAGCTGAGCACGAGCACGCCAACTCCAAGTCGTCTCTGAAGAGTGCGGGCAATAAGGCCTAAGGTATCGGGACATCCGGAGGTAGAATAACCGGACGCTACAGTCGGACTGCAGGTGATTCGGGAATGCATCCTTACAACCCCACATCAGGAGTGCGGGGATCCCGCGGGGACTCCATCGCTCGACGGTCTAGGCATTTCAGCTGCTGCGTGTCGATACGGAGAGGTCGCAGATGATCATGACGGAAAGAACGGCTCACAACTCATCGGCCGCTGTCTGCCGCGAACAGCTTTGATTGGAAGTCGGGAGGATCGCATGCTCCGCTTTGCCTGCATACGATGTGAAGATCAATACTTCAACCGTCATCGTCCTTGTCTACGTTAATCGCCGCAGGTCCATGAAATCCAACGTACGGACAATCATTACATTACTCGCGATCGTATGATAATAGATAGCACTGTCCGCTCCGCTCCGTTCAAACGCAACACACTCAGAAATGGAACAGGCCCCTCTTCTTCTTCTTCTCCTCCTTCTCGCTCTTGCCGCCAGTGCTGTGCGACGAAGCGATGGAGCCCGCGACCGAATTGATCGACGGCTTGTGCAACCGTCCGTGCTCGGAACGAGTCTTCGCTACGGGTTCCGGTGCGCGCTGGGGCGGTGGCGCATCCCGTGTGAAGTACTTCTCGTCATAGAAGTCCTGCAGCGGTCGTTGGCCCTTGCTTTCACTCAGTCCGTTGGGGAGCGCGCGTGAGCCAATGCCCTCCAGCTCGAGCACCTTCAGGTCGTCGACGAACTGCGCCGGTGTGACGGCATGCGTCGAACCTAACAGGTCATCGTTAGTTAAGCGTTCAAGTCTGTTCGGTGAAAACGCTCACCGACGATGATATCTCTATTCAATGATTTCGACAGCAGATACGCCTCTCGCATCTCGGAATATGTCATACCGCCCGCGACGAACACGAACACACGCTGCTTGACTCCTTCACGGGCTCCGCCTGCTTTGGGTCGATGCCAGCTAGGCTTTGCGCTCCGGAGAGATGTCGCGGGCTGTACTGATGGTGCTGAACGTAGGCTCGGTGCCGCATTAAGGGAGGGAAAGTCTTTGACGTAAGGGAAGAGCGTTGGGTCCAGTCGGTTGTTGACATGATCCTATTCGCCCGTCAGGTCTGCGCAATTAATAGCCATACTTGGGGTACTCACGTCGAGGACGCTGTGCAGTAGAGGTTTGAAACGGGACAGCTCGTACTCCTCTTCGTTGCTCGACTTCTGCTTGATCTTCTTCTTCGTATCCTTATCACCCGGCCCCTGCACGATACAGCCATTACCACCAATGCTCGGGAGCGAATGAGTCGACGAAGCTCACCCTGCTGATGCGGACACCAAAGTACACCAATGCATTCACGGCGTCCTGCTCCGCAACGGTGAGCCGCGCATGCTGGTACAATCTCCTCCTGTCTTCGTCGGGGACGCCGTCACGGTACTGAATGTACAGGGCGATGATGCGGACCTTGCTCATGTTTCTAATAATCAATCAGAACCACATCAAATGTGCACTCGCGCGAAGGCAAACGTACACAACGTCTCGGCTGTCCAGCAAAGGCACCATCTGCTCCACGAGGGTCTTCGGCGTCTTGCCTTCTGCGGTCAGTCCGGTAGCGCAGTTCTGTATGACTGTAGTGAATAGGCGAATAATACCCCGTGATCCATATAGCGCATACCTGCTCGACCGTGGCAACATCTGGAAGCTTATCACGCTCGAAGATGGCCATACATTCTTGTGCCATGTTCAGATGTAATGAAAACTAACATAGCATTCATGTCAGCGAGGACTCCCGCTCGACAACGGAGTATCGACCTTCTCTCGCTGCTCTTGGTATTGCGGTAGGTTGGCAAGCATGTCCTTCATGTCGTTCAGGTTCGCTGCTCCTTCTCTGTTCGAACGTTAACGATATGTATCATAAAAGATGGCATGCGGCGAACCCCTTGAAGCCAGCATTGTCCTGCATGAATTGGTTGAAGTCCGCCATCAGCTTGTCAATGGCCTCGCGCATATGCATATGTCGCAGCTCCGTCCAAACATTGTCCGCGTCGGAGAGAATTGCGGTCTTGTTCTCGAAAGCTCCCTGCGCTGCCTGGAACTTGTACCTGCCAGCGACACGGTGAGAAGAGCAGTGCTTTCGATGGATATGCAGCTTACGTATATCGTGTGCCATCGTCGATCGGGAGCAGGTCATTAGCCATAGCTTGATATGTGAACTCGTGTACAAAGGGGGCGATAGTATCCATGGAACGATCCGTGATGATCATCGTCGAACGTGGTCGTTGTGCGTCAGCGGTTTTCTGTCGACCGTCTGACTTAGCACTCCTGGCATACACGGCAGGAATGGGCACTCACACCAAAGTCGGGGTTGGTCTTCTTGTAATCATCCAGGTCGCTCTGCACCATGAACGCCAGCACCTTGGCCACAAAGTCCGTATCCGCACTCTCGTATGCGCGTGCATCTGCACCGCGCGCGAGCTGTGTTCGCCAGCGGCCGCTGTTCTCGGGCGGCGGAGGGGCCCGTGTCGACGCGTGTGGCTTGAATGCGCCTAGGGGCGGGTGGCTCGTGGGGAGATAGTAGCGGATGTATGGAAATTCATTGAGCGTGATGCAGACGTTCGCGATCTGCGTGGCCATACGCGATCAGGCACAGTAATGTATAGACGCGACTAACGACGTACCATCTTGCTGGCGAACCGAAGCTCCTCCTCGAGACGAGCGCGTGCCAAGGGAAAGGCAGAATCGCTTCGGGGCGGACTGTACATGTTGAAGAAGGATCCGGGCAGTTTGAGGGAGAATGCCTGCGCCTCCAAAGCTGGTGACCATCAGCAATGTGCGGTCCCACGGACAGATCGTGCCCACGTACCCCAGAAGTTGATGAAGAGTTCCAGCAGTGTTTTGAGATGCGGCTCAGCTGAGGACGACGTCAAACGTTCGAATAGGTGTTCACTGAGCCCTTCCGAGCGTGATTAGCTTGTCGTCGGGCGCGAGACTGGTGGCCCGACATACCATCGATGAAGAACAGGTGTGCACCCGCGTACTGCTGGCGGCCGTCGGAGAAATCCCTGATGATGCGTTCGACGTTCTCCGTCGTCGACATCAGGAGGTACATCGCCTCGAAGCCCGGCTGCGGTTCGCGGTAGTTCGTGATCGACTCAATCACTATGACACGACGATGAGCTCCTCATTCACACCTCGCGCAGGGGAGAACAAGACGTACGCGTGACATTCTCTTCCAGAACGTCAAATTGCTTGAGCACCGAGCCGAGCAGCTGCTGGGAGTGCTCGTCCACGACGAGGATCTTCCATCGCCCCGGCGGATTCACAGACCTAATCGCGTTGAGGAATTCTGTGCGCAACGGTGCTTAGCCAGCTCGTCGATATCCAACAGCCTACGCAACATACTCGAACGAACGGTGTTGATCAGGGAGGTCATGACGGTCGTGGCGGAAGCAGATTCGACTCTGCCAAGCGGTGCAGTGGTCGCCGCCACCACGGTTGATGGGCGCCTTAACGCATTGTCTGTCTGCTCACTGGAAACTACCTTGATCCTCCCGGTCACGTCCTTTTCGACATATCTTCCGCTGGATTCATCACGGACAAACGGCGAGCAAGCGGCTACTCTGGTTTTACTAGCTACGATTCTCAATTCTCAGCAATCGTCCGCTGGACCATTTCAGTGCAATGGTTGTGGCTTTGTCCAGTTATGCTCTTTCGGAAGACATGGTACTCGGGTCCCGGCTCTGTCAATCGTTCGCCTCGATACATGTGTTTAAGCAATGATCGTCTATCATAACTTGGCCGATGCTAAACATGCATGTGCGCCTCATGTTCCTCGTGCTAAGTCCGCAACGCATATCAAGACATCAATCGCAACACCGGTCTATTCTCGCGTATTCCACGCTGGTCGACGGTGACCTAAGGATCTGATGATGATGATGCGGTTGACGTACGCGCTCGCCTTACCACTCGTATGTGCCCGTCGTGATTGGTATAGACACGACCTACGACGGTGGCCCAAGTGATCATTCCAGGTGCAGTCGTGGTCATTCTCAGCGCTTTGTTTCATGTACCAAGATGAATCCGAATCGAATCGGATCTCATGTTGTTCGGTAAACGCAGTAAGCTTCTCTGAAGGTTTGTGGACTTCCTGGCGCTGACCAGTGCATTCAGCCTATGACGACTGTCTGCCCGAGAACAGTCCGAAGTGGCTTTGTCACTGATGGGCACATCGTGTTCGTTACGAAACATAAGAAGGTCGTGTCTTGAAATTATATACGATCCGTTCAATCGTCTCTGTGTCGATGGTCGCTGCAGACCTGTGCGCATCGTGTACTTCACCCTTAGACTACTAGCCATCGCATGTACTGTAGGCACCTAAACAAATTAGACAAGTAGAGATTGTTTGGCCAACGAATGGGGGGGTCGCCGGGAAATTGACGCGGGCGTCTGTCACGGCTTCTGCTCATCGTTACACACATTCAGTGCACTGGTCTTCCCATCGTCCCTCACATCCGGCTGAACGTCTGTCGCCATGGACAGGCCGCTCGGCCCCCGCCAACCCGACAAACGCCATGCTGCGTACGAGTCCATATTCGGTCGTCCGAGTGCCCAACATCATCAAGCGACGCCCCCGCTCGCTCAGTATCCCTACGTCCAGCAAAGCACTCCGCCCATCGGCCAGCAATATCCCTATTATCCACAGCAATATGGCGCACAACTTGACAGGAGAACATCGGGCTCCTCGCGAGCGCATTCCATCATGAATTACCCTGTGTCACAACAGCAGGCACCACCCGCGAGTTATAGACAGTCGATCTACCAGTCCCAGCCTGGCTACTCACCCCATCAACCCCCCTCACCGAGCTATGCTCCTTCTAACAACCTCGCAGCTCCTTCCGTGATTAGTCGTGCACGGTCAGTCGCCAGTTATCCCGGCGTGATTGCACCACAACCCGAAGAACCTCCAGATGCCAGTCTCGAGGCGTTGACACGAGCGGGCCTCACGCCTGCGCAGGCATACCAGGCACAGGTGTATATGAACAGCCCGGCGGGACAGCGGCACTCGCACCCTTCGCAGCCCGCCAACGTGCCGCTACTTGGTATAAACATCGATACCGACGACGGCAGGTTAGGCATCGATTTCGGCAGCAACGCTGGCCCTCCCAGCGAACAGGGTGCGGAAGACAGCTCGTCTGATCGTCAAGTGTCCAGACATCGCTCGAAAGCGAGCAGCATGCGCTCGCGTCTTTCAGTTGCCTCGTCGCACATCCCTAGCCCGGAGTTGATGGCCTTCCCCACCGGCTCCACCTCTTCACGCCCATACCCTCTTCAGCTTGACACTGCGGTATCGTCGGCACCTATGACCGGGACGAGCTCTTCGCCAGCCTCCTCCACCATGGTCGATGTGTCGACATCACTCAACGTACGCCGCTCATCTGACTCTTCCAAGACTGTGCCTGGACCCGCATTCCGCAAGGACTATGTCCCACAAGACCGCTCGCGGTCGATGTCTGCAACATTGAACCCTCAATTCCGCGCGATGATGGAATCCGGGCGTATGCCACGGCCGCCCATTCCGCAGGGTCTCAATGGGCGCGATGCACATGCTTCAATAACGCGACAGGCGCAACATCGCTCAAGGACGCCTATTGTGTATCCGGCGCTGCTGTCGCGTGTGGCAGAGGCGTTCAAAGTGCGTATACAGCTGCAGGAGCGTGTCAAAGATGGGCTGGCATACAAGGACGCATTTGACGGAAGAGAAGCCGTGGACCTCATCGCATTTATCATCAAGACCACAGATCGCAATCTCGCTCTGTTACTGGGCCGTGCGCTCGATGCGCAGAAATTCTTTCATGCAGTCACGTACGACCATCGGCTACGTGACTCGTCTCACGACCTCTATCAGTTCCGAACAAAAGTGCCCAGTCCGTTCACTAGCGGAGAGCTTGCCAATGCGGAGGATGACAGTGATGGGGCTAAAACTCCAGGGCAACCGCTAATCAACGATGGGGTGGCAATCGAACGCTTAACTGTGAAGGAGAGCCCGACGCCTTCTGCTGAATCTGATGCGGAAAAGACTTACAAAGATGCTTCGAGGCCCACTTCACCATCTCCTCCTGATTCTGTCACCTCGCCGACATCTAGACCGCGGAAGGGTTCGATAACTGCTGACGATGCACCATTACCTTCGGGTGTCTTCACACTTCTCACAGATTGTTATTCCCCAACATGCTCGCGCGACCAGCTCTGCTATTCCATTGCATGTCCTCGTCGGCTGGAGCAGCAAGCTCGTTTGAATATGAAGCCGCAAGCAGTACTGAAGAAGCAGATCAGCCGAGAGAGTCTGGGCGATTTAGTGGTATATCTCGAAATCCTTCTTTTTTCTAGAGTTTGAACCGATTGTTACCCATTCATCAGGAACCAGGGACATTATGGATTCATTCGGTGCCTCCGGAAGTGGTCAATAGTGTCTCTGACGCAGAGAAGAAACGACAGGAAGCCATCAACGAGGTCATCTATACTGAGCGCGATTTCGTGCGAGACATGGAGTATCTCCGGGACGTGAGTGCCTTTAATATATCTGCAGCTTCTAAGGATCGACCTCCGCTAAACGTAGCTCTGGATCAAACCCCTCAAAGAACTTGACATCATCCCTGAATCGCGCCGTACTGACTTCGTGGAACAAGTGTTTTGGAATGTCCAAGACATAATTGCTGTGAATATACGCCTGCGCGATGCGCTCAACAAGCGACAGAAGTCATATGCCGTAGTGGAGCAGATCGGAGATCTGCTCTTGGAGGCAGTACCTCATTTCGGACCTTTCGTGTCATATGGGGCGCATCAACTGTACGGCAAGTACGAGTTTGAGAAGGAGAAGAGCACAAATCCTGCATTTGCTCAGTTTGTCGAGGTCCGTGCGGGTTCAATCCATTGACAAACTATATGTAGTATAGCTAAGCGATCTTTGCTCACAGGAAGTCGAGCGTCGTCCTGAATCCCGCAAGCTCGAACTTAATGGATACCTAACGAAGCCCACCACTCGTCTGGCTCGGTACCCCTTGCTTCTCGAGGCGGTGCTAAAGCACACTCCGGATGAGAACCCAGACAAGGTTGCATTGCCTAAAGCTGTCGAGATGGTTCGGGAGTTCCTCAAGGCTGTTAACCATGAGACTGGGAAAGCGGAGAACCGTTTCAACCTTCTACAACTCGATCAACAACTCATTTTCCGACCAGGCGAAGAAGTTGTAAGTGCCATGTATGAGATTCTAGCTGAGTGATGCTGATGTTGCACATAAACAGGACCTGCGGCTGAAAGAAGAAGGCAGAGAGCTCATTTTCAAGGGCGCATTGAAGAAGCAGGGTGATAGCTCCGAACTGCTAGTGTTCCTATTTGATCATGCGTTGCTCATGGTGAAGGCTAAGAGCAAGGTTGAGCAATACAAAGTGTATCGCCGTGTAGGTCCTAATTGGACGATGTGTACTGCGTGGTCACTCATGCGTACATGCAGCCGATCCCTCTGGAGCTCTTGCTCGTTTCTGCACCCGACGACTTCCCGAATACGAAGCCGAAGGATCGAGAGAAGCAGAAACTCCTCAAGAACGCTCCTCATGCTCCTGTCATACCGTTGAAGGAAAGCAAGGGTGGCTTCTCCATCACGTTCATCCACCTCGGCCGCAAATACTACCAGATGACACTCTGGGCAAGCACTTACGTCAGCCAGCGCAAATGGGTGGAGCATATTCAGAAGCAGCAGGATATGATGCGAGAAAGGAGTCTCGTCTTTCAGACAGTGACGATGAGCGAGGGCTTCTTCATCGGTCCAAATCGCGTGAACTGTGCTGCACCCTTCCGTGAGCCTTTCCGTTTGAAGTCTACATCCTCCACCTCACTGAAGGTGCTTTAGACAACGGTAGACGAGCAGTATATGGTACAGATGACGGCGTATATCTTTCAAACTTGTGGGAGGGCAATAGGGAGCCGACCAGAGTCTTAGCCCTTAACGATGTGTCGCAGCTTGACGTACTGGAGGACTACCAGCTGTTGATTGTTCTATCCGGTACGGATTTTGCTAACGAGCGATTTGCGTGGCGGACTGACATGATAGTGCATAGAACGACAAGTCATTACGTTCCCTCTTGATGCTCTAGACTTGCAGGATCCGATGGCCGGTATGAAGCGTGCAAAACGGATAGCGTCTCACATATCGTTCTTCAAGGCGGGTGTCTGTCTTGGGAAGACGCTTGTTTGCGTTGTCAAAGCCAGTCCCCTGTCGAGCACTATCAAGACACTCGAGCCGATTGATCAAAATATCCGTGGGCGGAGCAAGCCCACATTTAAGAAGCTCTTGCAAGGCGGGAACGATACACTGCGCGTATTCAAGGCAGGTCGTATTATACGCTACACATCGTTATAGCTAATAGGTGTTATCGCAGGAATTCTATATTCCGGTGCAGTCCAGCTCGATCCATTTCCTCAAAACCAAGCTTTGTGTCGGGTGCACGAACGGTTTTGAGATTGTCGACCTGGAGACGCTTGATACTCAAGGCCTATTGGACCCTGCTGATCTGTCCTTGGACTTCGTCCGCAAGCGTGAAAACCTCCGTCCGCTTGCCATATATCGAATTGATAATGAATTCCTGCTTTGTTACGATGGTGCACAGGCTCTCTTTTATGGGTCCCAAGTCATCGCTCACATTTGTTCGCAGAATTTGCGTTCTATGTCAACAAGAGTGGCTGGCGATCACGCAAAGACTTCATGGTCTACTGGGAAGGATACCCAACTGGTTTTGGTATGCTGTCGTTCCTTTGAGTGATGCCGCATGTTGATATTCTTTCAGCGCTACATTATCCTTACGTTCTTGCATTTGAGCCGACCTTCGTTGAAATACGACATGTTGAGACAGGGGCGATGTCGCAGATCATTCAAGGCAACAACCTTCGATGTCTGTTCGCCGACACACCGCCATCGACGACAAATTCTGCCGCGCAACATCAACAATACAATCCTTTCCAGCAGGGATATGGGAGTTACAACTCATATTCTCCTGTTTCACCGGCAGTGTATAGCGGGCGACCATCCATGAACGGCTATGCGCATCCGCCACCAGGAGTGCCATTCCCGAGCCCATACCAGTCGCGGCCGCAGCATTCGGCTGGTCGCGACGAGATCCTGATGGTGTCCGACGACCGCATCATGAGATTGCAGATGGCGACACCGCAGCAGCAGCATCCATAGCCTGTGTGACTCCGGCTCTTCGGCTTGGTCCTCGTTACCATACGCTCTGGATGGCATTGGCTTTGACCCCTTACGACATATTGTGTTACTATATCGCTCCCGTCTCATCTACCCGTTTTTCGTACGTACTGATTCACTTGGTCCGCCTTCTGCGCTGGCCACTATGTGAAAGTTCTTGCTCTTGTTGTTTGTCTACTCATCATTTCCAATTCTCCCACACAGCATATATATCCTACCTGCATTTGTAGCCGAGATCATTGTTACGATACGCGCAGCTAACACATATTCGAGCACGATAGACTACCACATGCGCCATGCGTGAGACTGCTGGTCTCGACGGAGTAACCGTCTGTGTAATCTGAGGAGTTGTGTTGGCGGCAACTTCAACGTACGGCACTGAGTCGAAGACTTCAAGGCAGAACCACCGTGATGCAGACAACTGCGGACAGACCGGCCAGTTCGTTTGTCGCCGTATAAATCTTTGAATGACAATAGATGTTATCACTACCCAGCATTCAACGGGAAAGGAAAAAGAAACACCACGGTGTTTGGAGCATTTTCATGGCAGTTCAACTTCGCTGTTCACTGCTTGCCGAGCTAAGTATGTATGATCAAAACAATGGGCTTGACCGGGAGTCGAACCCGGGACCTCCTCCAAATAGTGTTGCTTACGCCCTAAGAAGGAATCATACCTCTAGACCATCAAGCCGTTGAGAGACGCCGGCATGTGATATACAGAATAAGCGAAATCCCAAGAGGCGCCCACTACGTAAGCGACGCGTTTGGCTTGCGCGTCGCGCGGTAGGAGGCGCGTCTGACCCAAGTACTTCATCCTACACAACATGAGCGCACCACAAGCATCATCATCGGGAGGCGTTGACCAGCGCAGGCAGGATGCTCTCAAGACATATCGCGAGGTACGTACGAGCATTTGCTTCAGTGACACATGCAGACTGACCGGTATTTCACCAGAAAATGCGTCAGCACGAGTCCAGCAGCCAGAGCCTGAAGAACCGTGAGTCTGCACTTGTGTTCCCTGCTGTTCGGTTGATTGATCTTAGACTCAGTCCGGTTTGCGCTAAGGGATTTGGAAAAGGACTATGCGAAGACAGAGGATGATATCAAGGCGGTACAATCTGTGGGGCAGATCATTGGAGAAGTAATGAAGCAGCTGGATGACGAGCGATGTGAGTATGGTTGGTCGATTCGACGACTGCAATACTTGACGGTTCATAGTCATTGTGAAGGCGTCGTCTGGACCTCGCTATGTCGTATCCTATCGCCCAACGTTGCCCGTGCAGAAGCTCAAGACAGGAACACGAGTTAGCCTCGATATGACAACACTCACAATCATGCGTATACTGCCAAGAGAAGTTGACCCATTAGTCTATAAGATGAGCTTGGAGGATCCCGGAGGCGCAACCTTCGCAGGCATTGGCGGCTTGGGGGAGCAGGTCCGGGAGCTGCGAGAGGTACGAATGACTGTCCTTGTGCAAAGTGGAGCTTACGCCGTATCCGCAGGTCATTGAACTTCCTTTAACGAATCCAGAGCTGTTCCAACGTGTAGGTATCAGTCCACCCAAGGGTGTCCTCTTGTACGGCCCACCTGGTACAGGAAAGACGCTCTTGGCACGTGCTGTTGCAGCGACGTTGCAGACAAATTTCCTGAAGGTCGTCTCCTCTGCAATTGTCGACAAGTACATTGGCGAGTCGGCGCGCGTTGTTCGCGAGATGTTTGGCTACGCGAGGGAGCACGAGCCTTGCGTTATTTTCATGGATGAAATCGACGCGATTGGTGGGCGACGGTTCTCGGAGGGTACCAGTGCGGATCGAGAGATTCAACGGACACTTATGGAGGTAAGAGCTAATTTATATGTACCTTTCAGGTCTTTTGGCTTATGCTTCGAATTAGCTGCTGAACCAAATGGATGGCTTCGACTCTCTCGGGAAAACGAAGCTCATCATGGCCACAAATCGACCGGACACGCTAGACCCCGCGCTTCTTCGGCCTGGTCGGCTAGACCGCAAAATCGAGATTCCGCTACCTAACGAGCAGGCTCGGCTAGAGATCCTCAAGATTCATGCCGCGCCGGTGAATAAAGGCGGCGATATTGACTATGAGGCCATCGTCAAGGCAGGTCTCCTGACTTTTTTTGTGTGAGAAGCGTGCAAACGTAGCGATGTCGTATTTAGCTTTCCGATGGATTCAACGGAGCCGACTTGAGGAACGTGGTTACAGAGTCCGGCATGTTCGCTATCCGGGATGACAGGCATGTATCAATTGTCTCGTTAGCTATTTACGTCTCATACTATTTGTTGTAGGGAATATGTCACACAAGAGGACTTGACGAAGGCGGCGCGCAAGGTGGGCGAGGCCAAGAAGCACGAGAGTAAGTTCACAATTTTTTATCGATTTGCATCCTCTCATTCTCTCCCTTCAGACAAGTTAGAGTACACCGCTTGAGCATCGGCCTGGCTTTTCTCCATTACTGTAGTAAGACTCATGGACCTCGGATTTGACGTTTGCGTGTAATATTGCAGAGCCTTGGGAGGCTGCAAGAGACCAGTTCCCGTGCGGCCGACGATGATGCCGAAGCAGAATCAACGGAGTTCCGTTTACTGACGGAAGAGTTCGTCAGCCTCATAGCAGCTATTGTGTGCGTTGTGATGACTACGCTGCAGCAGATTCAGTGGAAGGTGCTGTTCTATTTCTGTCCCATGAAAGTGCATTGAAGCATGTCAGCAAGCTAATGCCGGCGGGACCCCATGAGAATCAGAAAGGGGAGATTGCTATTTTTCACGCTGATGAGCGCTCGACCTTGTGCCCATGATCACGACGGCGGATTCTTATTTTGATCCAACACAGCCGGTCCTCCGAGAAGGTCGTTGACGGTCCCTTACCAGATGTTCATGCTCTATATTGAGGCCCATGTGAAGAATCGGGTCAATGCAGCGCTGAAGTGGTAGTAACGGGTGCCATCCTCTATTGTCAGTGAGCCGCGCTCGCTATTGTCAATACTCTTACATCGCAGCGGACAGGGCAGATGCTTCCGTGGTCGACAGATACAGGCCCGCCGTTGCCTAGCCTCCCGCGGCTGACTGTGACGCTGATCGATCGGTTTCAGCCACTGCGGGTATATAGGCCACAACGCAGTGAGTCCGCCTTACCCCGCCTTCGGTCGAATTCGCCTGCCATGATTGGGCTGCCGGCGACGTTGCTTGCCCTCGTGGCGTCGACACTGGTTTCTCCGGCACGAGGCCAGATTTCCAGTAGCTGGCCGCAAGCATATCCGGGCATGCCAGAGGATAACTACAGCGCTGCTTGGCAGAGCTGTGAGTGTCATTCTGCTGCTGCGCGGAAACTGGTCTGATGCTGTCACGCTAGATTTCGAGGTCAAAGAGTCGCTGCCAAACGTGACGTGGAACCTCGGACGGAGCTTTGCAGGCAACATTGGTGTCCAGCGGGCTGGCCACCCTAATGACACATTGTTCTTCTGGGGTTTTGAAAAAGAGAGCGGATCTCTGACAGCTACTGCTGGCGACCGAAGCGACGAACCCTGGGGTATATGGCTAAACGGCGGGTAGGTACCATAATACCTTATAAACAAGAAATCCCTCAATTATTTCTTATAGTCCTGGAGCAGCCAGTACTCTTGGGCTGCTTTACGAAGTATGTCTGCGCTCTTGCATAGATTGTGATGATTCTCAATATCGTCGGTTGCAGAATGGTCCTATCCACCTCTCTCCTAATTATTCGGTATATGAAAACGTGTATGGCTGGAACAGGCTTGCGGATTACTTCTGGATCGACCAGCCTGTGTAAGCTGTCCTGCAGATGTTAGCATCGTATGTGGCTGATGTCAGCCGCTTGATGTAGAGGGACAGGGTGGTCAACCGCTGATGATACTGGATTTGGTAAGGATTGATTGACACTTCTGAATGTGTTAGAGGGGTTTAGCCAACTAGACGTTCATCAGTTTACGACGAAGACCAAGTGGGAACAGATTTCGTGAGTAATGCCATGCGGGCTGAATGTGCTCTAGCGACTCACGCTCTTTTCATTTCAGATGGGCTTCTTGGAGAATCTTGTCCAAGTCTTCCCCAGTCTCAAGACACGACCCTTATACCTTACCGGCGAGAGCTACGCTGGTATGTACATAGTGAGTCTTCCGTCTCCTACGGTGAAGCTATCGTTCCGATGGTCGAATCGAAAGCCCTACATCACGAAAGCATACTTTGGCCTCTCCGACCCTCCCGTGAACCTGGTGAAGATTGCCATTGGTGACGGGACAGTTGGATCGGCTGTGGTTTATGAATACTTGCCGACGGTAAGGGTGAAATCACTTTCTTTTCCGAGCCCAGCTCCTAACGCGACACGCACTAGACAACCACGATACAGACGTATCCTCAGCTGATCGGATACGATCCCGAAGTCTTTGAGTGGTTCAGGGAGCAGTACGTCCGTTGCCCCTGACAGCTCTCGGAATACTGACAACTGCTGCACCATTGTTACAGGGAGCACCTATGTGGGTACGACCTGAACTTCACGTATCCCCAAGACGGCCACTTTTCCGACCTGCAATTGATCTATCCGACCGATCCTGGACGAGCCGCCGAAGTGTACTTGAACATGAAGAGTCGCAAATCCATCACGTCGAAGAGAGAGCTCATGATAGAAGGTCGGAGGCGCTATGGGAAGTCCAGCATACTGGCCAGGGATCGAGCGAACAATGTACGAAGAGAGATCGCCAAGCGTGACTTGATCGGCAGAGCAAACGGCACTATTGATCCGTGGTATGGGTGCTTCTTGTATGATGCGATGATCGAGTATGCCCTCAACTTCACTTACCCCTGGAGTGCGTGACTGTGGTTTGTGCAAGGTTGGAAAGCTGAGCATCCCGAACAGATTACTATGGTGGCTTCGAAGACGGGAGCATTGTCGGTTTCGATGTATGTCCCTGGGCAATTCTCTTGGGAGGCTATCATTCTGATGCATCGCACGTTGCAGGTATATGACGTACCAGACGCTTTGAACCCTGAGATTCCTCTGGACGGAAGCTATTTTTACAATGGTCCGTCTGGTATTCTTCGTGGAAACCAGGTCTCCGCTTGATGTCGTTGTGCAGATCCCCAGACAGTAGCAGCTTTGCACGCTCCCACTAGCAAGCAATGGGTCGGCGAGATGGAGTACCCATTCCTAGGTGCGTCTAACTGTGATGTTATCATGAGTGAGGTAATCAACGATGGACGATAGGCGGCGAGGATTATGAGGATCCTAGTGAGTCGCTGCTGATATCAATGAGTGTCAAGTCGCCTTGATAACGCTTGTTCACAGGTGTCGAGTGAGTTTGTGCCCAGAATACGTGGATACCGCGATTGACAATCAGCATGATCAGACCGATGGCATTCTTGACTGAGTTGGCAACGAACGCATCAGAGCGCGGAGTCTCCGTCGTCCTTTACTCTGGAAACGATGACTCGCTCATCGCGCACCGGAGTACTCAAGGTCCGCCCCTCACTCGTGTTTGTTATGATGTGGCAGCTGACGTGCCGGAATGCAGTGGTCATCCAGGTTTGTCCGATAAGTCATCCTTGCCTTGCGACCGATACTGACGGCACCGCTTCTCAGAATACGACTTTCGGCGGTATCCAGGGCTTCACAGTACCACCAGGTACCCCTTGGTATGGAGATGATGGGAGCTTCGCAGGCATCGTCCACCAAGAACGAAATTGGACCTATTTGCTTTTCAAAGGAGCAGGGCATCTAGTTTCCGAAGACCAGCCAGCGAACGTAAGCAGGTCCTCTCCCTGCCTTCTCAATTGGGCTCATCCCTGCTCAGGCATACGTGTTCCTCCGTGAATTCATCCTGGGCGACAACCAAACCGGCTTTGTCGAAACGACCAGGGGACATAGCGAAGTAGTTGGAGGACAAGTCTCCTTGCTTGCCGCCGCCGTCCTGCCCGGCCAACCCGGGATCTACATCGGCTCAGGTGCGACACAGTCGACATATACGTTCCCGACGGCTACCATTGCAGCATGGGAGGACTACATCGTGACCGCGACCGCAACTGGTGATGTTGCGAAGGCAAGATCGGCATCCGGGGCGAGGCCAACTGCTAGGATGAAATTTCCATGATTCTCGTGACACTTGATAATTTATATTTTTGCGGACACCTGCGATGTTGTTGTGACTGGGTTCGATTACGATACTTCTAGTGACTTGCAGCTGGAACTGCGTATCCAAGCACTCGTGCCGTGTTGGTAACAGCACGTCATCCGTAGTGTGCGTTTGTCTCACGACCGAGTCAGGGGGCCAATCTTGCCATGAGGTGTATGCAGCATTTGATTGGAGCTTCGGCCCGTTAGAGCGTACGCTAGAAAGCAGCCTATAAGTCGCCATCCGCAGCAGGACGGAACAGCAACCCACCGTGATCCACCATGCCCGCGCTGAAGTTGATCACCGTCAATACTGCCCCGGAGCGCGCGAGGCGCCTCATTGGGCGCATAGTAGAGGACGTGAAGGACAGGTATACGATCGTACATCTGGACAATGTGGAAAGTGAGCTTGAAGGCGTCATTTTGCTGAGACTGTTGTTGATGCGTTGATCAGGGATTGAGGACGTGAAAGCTGCACTGGAGAGGGAGAAGCCCGATCTGTTGGTAAGTCTGCACGTAGTCCTGCAATGCACCCGATTGACAGTTGCGCAGTTCACAGCGTCCATGTGGACACCCGAACAAGCTCAGGTGCGTGCGGTCGCTGCGCATTTCTGCCCTAGGGTTGATTTCTTGAAACGACAGGAAATCGTTGCCATCGCGAAGGAAACTGTGCCAGGCATCAAGACGTTTAGCCTTCCGTATGGGTTCCAGGTTGAGAAAGGACCAGACGCAGTGGTAGAGTTCATAAAGGAGAAATTGCCCAGCATAATAGAACCTGCTGAGGAAGTATGACCGTAGCATACCGTGACGGCTGTCTGCCGTGCAATGGTCCATGTATTCGCGCAGCATTGTGTCGACTGTATATGGCAGTGATAATGTTCGAGCATCAATGATATCAATCACGTATGCGTATGCGTGGCCCGACGAGACAGCTAAACGTGAACCTTGGCCAGAGGCACTCACGCCACAACCGCGCGGTTCCGGTCACAGTCACATCTTGAGCAATACCTTCAGCCACCGCCGCGTAGGCCGTGCATGTGTCCCGACCTCCAGAACACGTACGAGAGCCACTTGAATAGGCCGCACTCGATGGTTTGATAGGTATTAGTCTCCTAGGGTTGCGCAATGGCAAAGAAACGAAAACCGGGTGTCACACTGCGCGCTGGGGCATCCTACACTTTGGATGATTTCTTCGGCTCAAAACCCAGTTCTTCACGTGCACAGAAGAAACAGAAGTTTCAAGGACATGTGTCGCGAGCTAAAGATGAGGATGCGGTGCCAATGCGCCAGGTAGTAAGGCCAGAAGAGATCATAGTGGTAGATTCGGACGACGAGGTCGCTGAAATAGCTCGCACCGCGTATAATACGTCTGCTTCCGGCAAAGGCGCTGCGAAACGCAACCTTCATCACCGTCGCGGAGAGGAGTTGATCACCTGCCATGCGGTCAAGTTGGAAGAGACTGTTCCTCGGCTACCTTCCCCTAGGTATCGCGCAGGGGAGGCAGCATCCTCCTTCGGACAACCATCTACCTTGCTACTTCCTGACAGCGCGCATTCTGGTATCGTCGACTCGAATGACTCTCTATTCGGTACCCCAGCGTTGTTGCTCCCATCAAGCTCGACAACGAACTCTGCAGAGCGGACGGACTGTTCTTCTGACTGCAGCTCCCGAGCAGGATCTATGGACGCCCCTATTGCGTCGCCTCCTGGCATTGACCCTGAAATCGATGGCGAATTTATCTCTTTGAACTCGGACGTTGAATGGGCCACTGGTGACGATGAAATGGTTCCCGGACATCCAGAAGTTGCAGCTGAGCTTGAAGAGGAAGAAGCAATCGACATAGATTTGACCATGGGGGATGAGGAGAGAGCTCGAACCGGAACATCTGACGAACGCGTCGAAATTTGTCCTCTTTGTGACTGCAAGCTTGAAGGCCTAAGTGAACGAGTGGGTCAGAGCAGCGAAGCGTTTTAATATGCGCTGACAGCCGCTTAAACAGGAGATTCATGAACACGTCAATGATTGCATAGACTCTATGGCGGACTCTTCTCTCAACAATTCAGGCTCTAAATACTTTCCTTCCGTACCTTCGAGATCTTCACAGCCACAATGGTCCTCAGAGGTTTCATGGCCTTCTGCTAGCACTTCTCACGTCAACGTCAAGGAAGAAGAAATTTCAACATCTCTCCGCTCTACAGGGGCATTCTCTATGCTCATGTCCTCATATAAAGAGAACGAAGCATGGAAAGAAGCTTCTGCCGCAGACGATCGTAATTTCCGCCCGACGAAAGGAAATGGCGGACGGCGCAAGGCTCCATTTTACAAGATCATGCAGGGCATGCCCATCGCAGTGGACGCCTTCCGCTACGGTACCATTCCTGGTGTCACAGCGTATTTTCTAACGTGCGTGCGTGCTGACGTGGCGGTCTGCTTGCACTGACCTCGTTCGATATTTAGACATGCTCATTCTGACCATTACACTAACCTATCGTCTAACTGGAAAGCCGGGCCAATATATTGCTCTGAGGGCACGGCGAACCTGATTGTGCATATGCTGGCCGTGGATCGCAAATGGGTGCACCCGCTGCCGATGGACGTTCCCACGGTCATCCCTAACACTGGCGGTGTCAGTGTTGCCCTTATTGAAGCTAATCACTGTGAGCACAGAGTCCTGTGCTCTTAGGCACTCACGATCTTACGTACGTTGGCTACTTCACAGGCCCTGGGTCATGTCTATTCCTTTTTGAAGGACGACAGACGGTCAATGCAGGGGACAGCGTCTATAAGTCGCCCTTCGTCGGCTCATCCAGAATTTTTCGGTATCTGCATTGTGGTGATTTCCGCGCGTCTCCCCAGCATGTTATGCACCCAGCAGTAAAGGGTAAGCGAATCGACCATGTCTATCTCGACACGACCTATCTTGACCCGAAGGTGCGCGTCATGCTTCGTCGTCTGAGAGATGTAGTACTGACTCTCGAGAGTAGTACTGTTTTCCGCCACAGCCACAAGTAATCTCTGCATGTGCAGAGCTTGCGAAGAGAATTGTGTACGGCGAATCGTTGCACGATGCAGACGATGTTGCCAAGACCAAGCGGAATCAGACAATGGACAGTTGGCTGATTGCACCAGAGAAGCAGGGTGAGCAGGAGAGCAAGCCGGGCAAAGTGCTCGTCGTTGTTGGGTAAGTTTGCGGTGATATTTCATATTGAAATAACACAGCTGAATATACGAGGCACGCAGGACATACTCTATCGGAAAGGAGCGTATCGTAAAAGGTACCCCCTCGTATCATATTGAAGTCTAGCTGGGTCTCACGGAGGTAATTTGTAGCCATCGCTCGCACTCTGCAGACGAAGGTCTACTGCGATTCGCGCAAGGCGGCAATCTTGCGCTGCCAGTCGGATCCAGAATTGCACGAACTGCTCACGAAGGATCCGTTGGAAGGTGGCGTACACCTAGTGCCCTTGGGCGTAATCGCTTCGGACAGGCTTAAGGAGTACGTTGGGCGGTTTAAAGGACACTATAGCAGGGCAGTAGGCTTTAGGCCGACCGGATGGACGTGGGTATCATTTATTAACCGATGATGTTCAAAGCTTATGACCCGAACTTCTTTAGATACTCCGCCCCCGCTGGGACAGATTTGATGCCGGCTGTATCGACCATAATTTCCCGCTCGCAGAGCCGCGCATTCACCCATGCGCAGCTCAATCCCACGAAGAACTCCTCGGCTGCGTTGCAGGTGTATGGAGTCCCTTACTCGGAACACAGCTCATTCTTCGAGCTGACCTGTTTCGCGTTGTCGCTGGATTGGGCGAAGATGATTGCGACGGTCAACGTAGGAAGCGAGAACTCCCGGCGGAAAATGGACAAGTGGATTGGGCGATGGGAGACGGAGCGAAAGAAACGTTCGAAAGGTGAAGTGGTGGGATGCAGGGCGGAGGACTATTGGTAGCTATTTTCATTTGTCACATACTCTACACGGTGTGAGGAAGACGCGTTGTGCCGAGCTCACACAGTGTTTACGACCTCGAAAGTACGTGGCGCTGCTAAAAATCTGCTTTACAAAGCAATACAATACATGAGCAGCTTGCGCTTTGAGTACCATATTCCAATTGTTCTGGTCGGTCTTCACTTGCAGTTCAGCATTTGGCATTCACCTTGCTGGAATTGACATTTGCGTATCTGCAAAGTCTTCATGAGACTAAGGCCCATGAGAAAATTTGATAGAAGAACATACAATGCATCAATATCTTCTGCGTATAAAGCAAGCGCCAGCTTCCTTTGAACTGTCCCCTTCGCCGCGCGAGGTAGTGGACGCTCTGCATCTGCTACTATAATCAACTCCCTGTAAATGCGACCGAACACGGGCGCCTGCTCGTTGGCTTCTTCGATTTGACGCCTGTGTGGTACAACGCGCGCGATCAGTACCACACATTGGCAATTGTGAAATCTGCGCACCATACACGGTCAATGAACTTGTTCGCGGCTTCTTGGTCGCCGCGTTTCATGGCATGTGAAGGGGCTGGCTCAATGAGTACACCTGGCCATATGTAGCCTGTGCGACCGAACATGACTGCGCCATCGATGAGCGGATGTCCGCCCAGGTGGCTTTCCTGTGGAATGGGCACGAAGTTCCATCCTGCATGGAGGCGGCGATTAGCGACGTATAAGCGCGCTACAACATTGGAGAACGAGATGCACCCGAGCGTTATATGATCACGTCGTCCGTCCGTCCGACACTGACGGAGATTATGAGGAGGGTCATAACCGGTAATTCGAAGTGGATACTACGCACATCCGCCACAGGTTAGGCTTCGTCGGATGTGGTATCCAGAGGTCCGATGTTGCATATCCCTTCTCCCCATTTGGGAGATTTTCGACGCTCGGTTGGTGGGTTGGGTTGCTCTGGATGATTGTCCACGATAGGCATTCAACCAGCCAGGCTTAAGGAGAACCTCTGATGCGCTCACCATGAGAAACAGTTCGTACATGCCGCTGCCTTGAGGAACCCAGCGGATCTTGCATCTTTCCGGAAAATGAATCCAGTTCCAGTCTGAGCGAGACTTCAAGAGGGCCTTGTTCTCGCCTTCCGGGAGACGACCGGCTTCGAGAAGGTCCTCGTCTGTGTCGAACATGTCTGTGATTGGCCGAAACTCAGTTGCAGCATACAATGAGGACAGCCGCACGCCAGCAGTGGTGAGTTTTGCACCATTGGCAGGTGACATGGGGGCACCCGCGAACATCTGAAATGTCAGTATTAGTGTTTAGACAAGCCGAAGAAGTGATAGCAAATGTACCACGACTTGCAGTGATGCAAGGTACTTGATATTCTCCTCCCCGTGGGCCCACAACTACGTAGACATGTAGTTCAGCATGGCTAACCGCGCGAAACAAGGTCAAAAATCACCTCTAAAACCCAAGGAGTTGTCGGAATGGCATTTGCATTTGTACGACGTGCAGCATCAAGGATATTGTCGGGGTTCGCTGCCACCGGCGGCAATCCTAGATGTCCTTGTGGGACGAACAGACTTGACGGCTGTCCCGAGACCAGCGGTGCATACAGTTGCACACACATGCCCATTGTACCGAAGCCGCACGGCGCCATCGCCGCCCAACGTATGCCGCGATCGCGTGCCTTCAAAAAGACCGGCGTGCTGCACCAGTGCAGTATATTGCTACCGCTCTGCGGGATAGGTTTTGGAAGTCCGGGGGACCCGGAGGAGTGCAAATGCAACACGACGTCAGTGACCGCAGGGGAGACGGAGGGTACAGGGTGTGGGGAGGGCTTCGCGGCTGCTGACGCATCGGAAGCTGAGGCGAACCGGGGGAAAATCTGACCCAGAGACGGAGGAAGGTCGGCCTGGAGTTCGTAGCCAGGCAGCAGTGCAGCACTGATGCCATCGATGAGGGGCTAAAGGTCCTCCTGCTATATCACCCTGTGGCAATCCACGCATTGGAGCATGCTCGAGATCGCGATTGCGGTGAGGTTCGTATACATGGGAAACGGCACCAGGCCTGCACGGACGGCGCCCGTCGTAATTGCGTGGTACAGAAGAATGTCGCAGTGGAGAAGCATGCCGACGATTGCGCGCTCGGGGCCTGCGTGCTCGGGGCGTATATGATGCGCAACGCGGTGCGTCGCGTCCGCGAACTCTGAGAAGGAGATGCCGATGTAGTCGGGTGAGGCAGGATCCTCATTCGGATAGACGAAGTACAGGGATGGAAGGGTTGTGGATGACGTGGAAGTCGAGGAAACCTGGGAGAGCCGCAACGCTCCCGTCAAGCGGAGGACAAAGCGGGATGTCCGCGCTCTTCAAATTAGCGGTCGCCTCCTTACCGCAGACGGTGGCAGGCGTCCAGGCAAATTTCGAGAGCAGGCTACGAAGGTACTCCATGACGAGGGTGAGGATGGCCTGCGGGGCAGGACCTTAAATCCTGCACGGATTGTGCAGCCAAAAAGCTGCACAATGCGGCCAACGCGGCATGGGGTTGCTCTAAAAGTACAGTAACGATGTGAATGAGTTGAATGTTTCACCTTTTCCTGGACAAAATGAGATCTACAGTTCGGGGACAGCTTCTAGCACCCGGATCTGCTTGTCCCAGCGGAGCTTTTTGTTGTTGTTGCCGCACTGTGTCGCCGAAACACTCCGTGATCCGCGGGTTTCACTGCAAGCAGTATATTACTAGGACCAGAAAGACCACATTCTTCGAGCAGTGAGAATCTTATTTCTAAGATCAAGGAATCTGCCTTCGGCCGCCGATTATGGCACCACGGTGACTTGCGCTGCGATCTGCAGGAAAGAGTTCGGACGCTCCGGGTGCTTATAATGGATGATCACAACGCTGTGACAATATCGCATAGGAACAAATAAGGCGTGGAGAACTACTTCACTGCAACATCAGAAGCTGTAAACCTCAAGTAATGAGATGCGCACGAACACGTCAAGGCTTGTGACAATCTGAAGGGAAATGCACCCGGTTGGTTTCGGATGACGAGTATGATCAGGCCTTTCCGGATGAGACCAGTTGGGGATGAGCGACGACTGCGCTGTCCTGCGTCCTTACATTCATTTCCGCTATGTGGGGTCCGCGGTTGTTCTCTCGACGAAAGGGTGTTTTCACGGACGCAATACAATCATTCACGGCGGGGAAGCGATGGACACAAGCCAGCAATCATGATAGGTCAAGACATCGTGTGGCACACGTATTATGATCTATCCAATAAGCAACGGAGTTAGCTATAACTTGATGATCAAGACAAACCTCACCGTCGATGGCGAGAGAGGAAACGAGCGTCCGACCGGTTACTTCATGAACTCCACTATTGAAAGACAAATACTCACTGTGGATGGAGGGGAACAGACTATACGAGACAGTAAGCCAGAACCCGCGGCGCAACAGTCCGTGATGGAACGCGGCCGTTTGATGCTGCATCGGACTAGGTGAATTCCTTCCAATGACATGTCCCACAATGACGTGAGGTTGGATAAAAGCGCACAGTTGCTTGATAAACTGGTATCTGTATGCTGGTCTGGCTCTCAACGTGTCTAGCGGTGGGGTTGCTGTGGCACGGCACGCCGCCAGGCACCGACGAATCTGCAAACGGCCGATCCTCATACATTTATTGAACGTTTTGCATCCTTGCTAATGGCGCTACTAGCATGCATGATGCAACACCAAGAGACTGCAAAAATAACATTCAGCGATGCGCCCATTGTTCAATGGCTGTTTCCGTCAACTGATACCTTTGCACAGCTCTGCCACCGTCTCAGTACTAATCATGCCTCCTGTGACTGCCAATAATCTGCACGTCGGAAAACCAATCGACATCCAGCGATGCATTTCCAGACGGGAGCTGGTTCATGACAAGATCCTGTGATGGAGAGCCTTGCATTTGACTATTGAAATACTGGGTTTCATGGAGGAAGGAGGTAGATGGATGCGACTGCTTCATTCGATTTTGATTTCCGGAAGCAGCTCTATCCCTGATATCAGCATTACCCGAGAAGTCGTCGCGCCTGGCGCCCTCTAGAGTGCGATGCATTCGTCTTGCGTAGTATAGTGAGAGTCAATCGATCAAGCCACTGGCGCACGCCCTGAACGAGACATTGTGCTCATGGACTCTCCGCCGATTTCCCGGCCTTGAGTAATTGATTGCTTGGATTGTTGACTTCGGTGATTTAAACACCAACGTTGTGATACAATGCATGCATCAGAGATTCTTTGACGGTCGTTCGACTTGGACACAGTGATGCGACCCAAGCCTGAATATTGAATACTCCAGATCGCGATCGCCGTCATACCAGAGCGGATAGATACATGGCTCGAAACCTACACAGCGCAATGCCAAAGGCCCAGATCAGAGTCCACACGCATGTCGCAGCGTCCCCCAGTATGACCCTGCGCATAAGCAGCGGTTTTGATGTCGTGAAGATGGCATACAGAGCATGGCATAATCACGGGGACAAGGTAAAGACATGAAAGATGCAAACCACGACGACGTTTACTGCTCGGCCGCCCGCTGCCGCCTCCTGGCATCCCGCTCCTCCGAAATCGTGAGCTTCGTACCCTTGCCTCTTGGCATGGAGATCCAGGGCTTAATGCCCTCACCAAGAACGAAGATATTGGAAATCCTGCATTCGATGTATCAGCATTTGCGATCGAAAATGAACCAGAGAAATGCATACCGCGTCGCGAATGTCCGGTCCAAAGAGTCTTTCACATGGACAATGTCGAAGCCACCAATGTGCTTCTCGCGGTGCACAATGACACCAGCACGACCCATGTTACGGCCACCAGTGATCATAACGATGTTGCCAGTATCAAACTTCACAAAATCGACGATCTTGCTCTGCTGAAGGTCGAACTTCACGGTGTCATTTACTTTAATTAGGGGATCGGGGTAGCGGATAGTGCGGCCGTCGTGCGTCACAATGTATGGGACACCCTTCGCGCCAGTGGCCATTTTGCGAACCTTGAGGAGCTTGTAAGTCGCCTCCTCAGCGGTGATACGGTGGATCGTAAAGCGGCCCTTGACATCATACAGCAGACGGAAGTATTCGTCCGACTTCTCGATCGTGATGACATCTACACCGCGACACTTCAAGCAATGCCCCTGAACAAGTTTGGGTTCTGCGACGTACCCATAAAGCCGGCAGGGTACGTAGTATCGGTCCTGACCTTGCCATCGACCTTAATCAAGCGTTGCATTACGATCGAGAGGACTTCTTTGCCGGTCAAGGCATACTTGAGCCTATTACGTAAGAAAACGGTGAGAGGCAGGGATTCTCGGAGTTTATGGGGACCGGGGGAGGGACGGGGAGCCTAGCAATTTCAGGATTTAGACGGATACTAGAGATACCAGTTGACTGCACGCACGTAGGTACCGCTCAGCTTGTCGAGCATCCATGATGATGGAGCGTTGAGACGCTTCAAGTGCTTTTTCGGTCCACGGGCCTGCAAGGATCACAAATACATAGAAATCAGCACCCAGGCCAAAGTGAAGCAGGAGCCAGACGAGTCAACGGCCAGAAGAGTTGCGCAGGTCTCCAGAGTACATCCGTAGATCAACGTCAGCATCCACCCCTCCAAAGTGCTCTTCATGCAATCCGACCGCGCAGACTCATAGGTAGGCCGTCAAGGGGACATCCAACAGCATTCTACTGACCATGTTGGGCTTCTTGTGGGCTTGACGTTGGCGACGGCGGCGGCCTCGAGCTTGCTGCTTCACGTACTTGGGCAGTCCTTCCGCAATGGGAAAAACTTCAGGGCAAGGCTAAACTGCACCACGTGATCAAACGCGCCAGACCGGACGCGTCCTGCTCGTGCCTCCTGCTCCTTCCTTTCCTCTCTTGCATGCTGGCTATAGTCGTGATCGCCCATTGATTCCTAAGCTTCTGGTTGCGAAAGTGTTGGAAATCAACAGGATGAAGACTTCGTGCATGCTCAATTGGCACTGGCAACAGTCAACTCTCTCTCGAGCTGGACGCAGCGTGGTGCGGAATCGGAGGGCGTCGGCCTTCTTTGGACGGTCATCCCATTCTCTGTCCAGCACCCAGTCGACAGTCAATCCAAATGAGATTGACCTATTCTCTCGCCTGTCTTCGCAGTGGTGGGATGAGAGAGGAGAATTTACTATGCTACACAAGATGAATCCAATCAGGATGCGCTTCATTCGCGAGAAACTGGTAAGCGGCGCATGCCGGACGTGCACATGTCGGCTTATGTATCTCAATTTGTGTAATCCAAGATTGAGATGAAAAGGGAAGACGTGGAAGATAGCGCAGCCGATGAGTCGCAGATCTTCCAGGGACTTGACGTGCTAGACGTAGGATGCGGGGGTGGGTTACTTTGTGAGGTATGCTCGTGTTCGGTCCAATATTATCCTGCTCACTAAATCAGTCTATACACTTAGAGTCTCACGCGCCTTGGAGCAAATGCGCTTGGTATTGATGCCTCTGCTTCCAACATTGGCATTGCTGCTCTTCATGCCTCGGCGGACCCCGCATTGCACCTCTCCTCTTCTCCTGTAAACCCATCTTTTTCAACATCTGAAAGCCAAATCCCGCACCGTCACGGTCGCTTGGCTTACGAGCATACATCTGTTGAAGAGCTCCTTGCGCTACGAGGGCCAAAGCAATTCGACGTTGTGTGCTCTATGGAGGTCCTGGAACACGTCGACAATCCCCGGGCATTCTTGCGTAGCTGTGCCGAACTTGTCAAAGTAAGCTCGATAATGCCAGAGCTTCAACATGCCGCTAAACGTTCGGCTTTTTCCACATAGCCTGGCGGTCACCTATTCCTGTCCACAATCGCACGGACGCCACTGGCTTACTTTCTTACCATCTTTGCCGCTGAGGACCTATTCCGTAAGGTCACGCCCGGGACCCATACCTACTCGAAGTTCATACTCCCGAGTGAACTTATCTCTTATTTCCACGACTACCGGTCTTCTACGCCTTCTGCTGGTGACTCTGACACAGAAGGCCGGAGATGGATTTCTCGCTTGTACAATGGTGTCCCTGCCCGTACAGAGGCGGAAACAAGAGGCATGATCTACCTGCCATGGAAGGGCGAATGGATGTTGGTGTCTCGCAGCTCGTTTGGGCCTCAGCTGGAGGGGTGTAATTACATGTTCTGGGTGCGACGCCCTCGAGAATAAGAAAGCATCTGTCTCTATCTCCCGGCATCTCATAACTGTGTGCAGCATGCGAAACAGTGGCTGGACTCTTATATTGAATTGCCTAAATCGTAAGCCATTGATTAATATGTTAACGATATCGAAATTGCATCTTGACCACAACAATATATCAAAACAGCATGCAACTATGAGTACAGAACTACTGAGTAGGGTATATTTGGGGGGTTTACTTTTGCTTGATAGCCCTGGACACCATCGTCTCTAGTGAAATCGCTCTGTACTCGTCTCCATCTGGAGCCCACACAGCATCGTCCAAAATGTACACCAACAGTCCACCTTTCCCATCGACAGTCTGGGAGACACGGAATAGCGCCATGCGCGACTTCTCATCGACGCGGCCGGCAGGCATGAACAGCAGATTGTGCGAAGACGCATATTCCTCCACGATCGAGCGGAAGGTGATCTCCTGCGTTCGGGCAGGACGAACCTTCTGCAGCTTCTGCTTCGTACCCGCCGTCGCAGGAGCAGTAGTGAGTGCGTGATGGTCTGGTCGAGGCAGGCGGGTGGGAGCTTCAGGACCGAGCTCAATGGCCTTATTCATCAACTGCAATCCGCGCGTGAAGCCCTGAGCAACGTTAGGCATGCTCTGCACATTCTCCGAAAATGTTCCCTTCCAAAATGAGTACCACTGCGCGACCTCCTCGAAGCTCGGGCTCGGCTGGATGAGCCAGATATGCAGCACGTCGAGCCACTTCGGGAAGAACTCCGTTTCGAGGATACGGGAGAGGATGGATGGGCTTAGGAGGCTCTCCCACATCATGACGTCTTGCAGAGGCGCCATGTCTTGGTTGCGTGGATTAACGCGGAAGTCCTCGCGCAGTCTGCTTCCCAGCTTTGGTACAACATATTTGAGTAACATTGCGTCCCAATCGCCCACGTCGAATACCTGGGAAAAACCACGTTAGCTGCTGCATGAACAAAAAGTGAATGTAAGGCTTACATCTCGCCACACCGTGAGGTCTTCCGGCATGCCCTCCGCCACGGCCCAACTCCTCAATAAGCTCTTCACCTTCCGACGAGCATCACCGAGCACCTCTTCCAACCTGAGTCCGATGTGTGGCAGCCATGGGAATACTAGTCTCTGCAATGGAACCTTGCTATGGCGCGGGTTCCAGTCGCCGACAGCTTTTGATACCTTTGGGAGGACGAGCTGGTCGAAGAAGTTGTCGCGAATGAAGGGAGGTAGAAAGGCTGACCATGCTTCGTACAATCGTACGGCCGGTAGTGGATCGTCTGGCGACCAGTCGTTATTGATCGACGATCGCACCTTTGGCAGCCAGGCATTCCAGAGCAGACTCTCGTACGGCGTCATCGGTTTCTCACTGATAAAATGTTAGATCCCAACCATGATGTGTATGTGCAAGAGACTTACACTACAGGCGCGGAAGTGATCATCGTGCTTGAGCCATACACTTGGATCTGATCTCGAGGGGTCTCATTTGACACCACCATTTTCAAAGCACGCCTCCACAAGCGTAGTGACGGCGTGAACACGTCGGGCTCTTTTAGAGGATGCCATTGAGAAATCATTCGCCGCATCTATAAAGGCCATGAGACTGAGAACCATCGTATGGGCTAAGGATTGGCTTACCACTGGTGCAATGGCTGCAACAATTACTTCGTCTAAGCGATAAATGTCAAACTCCTTGGGGTACTGGCCAAGAAGCTTCTCAAAATTCGGGGAGAACGACTCCAGCAAAGCCTCATATGAAGATGACATTTCCCTCGCCTGAGTATTGATGTCGTCCACGACAAGGTGTACTTGCTGGAGACGCGCGATGACTGAAACGTCGAGTGAGTATGTTGCACATGCATGATATTTTCGAGTTCAAACTCACGTTCGGCTTCCTCCTCCACCCTCCTGCGTAACCGGGCGTCCTCTTCGCGTATCCACTTCTTGCGCTCCTCCAATGCTCTGGCTTCACGCGCAAGCCCCTCGAGGTCACCCTTGCATGCCTCTGTGATGAGACGGAGGTTATGCCGCACCTCAGGCAGCCGTGTGGTGTCTGCAGTTGGTGTCCACGAAGCTATAGAGACATCGGCGAGAGAAGATACTTCGCGCGGCTAAGCAGACAGTCAATTCGAAATACAAGATAGACAGCTGCTGTACTTACCGTAGCACCGGTTGCATCAATGATCTGTCCAATTCCAGCTTGCGGGACCTCTTGACCCGCCTCCGCGACGATCTCCTCATAGGTCTTATGTTCAATCCGCGTCTTCACTTTCTTCGGCTTCTTCCATGCCTCCTCCCTTTCTTCGCGCGTCTTCCCAGCTTTACGTCCCTTCCTAGCCGCGACCCTGGCTTCTTCCTCTTCGTCACTGACCGCCTCTCCTCTCCGCCGCGCCTCTGCCTTCGCCTGCTCAGTCTTCTCCTTGAAGCCCTTGAAGGCGAGGCCCATGCTCTTCGGACGTAGCTTGCTTTCAACTGGCGTGACGATACCCCCTCCTGCCGTGCCAAGCCCAGTGCCAGCTTGCCATCCCATCTTTGCCAGCATTCGGGCACCAAACGAGCCCTCCAGCTTATTGAAATGCTGCAGATCGCTTGCCTTGAGAGGTACAGGCTTTGGCGCGCTCGCTCGACTACTGGGGTTCCGTAGAAACGACCGCTGCGTACGTGCAGCCCGGAAGGCAGTGGGGAGATCCTCCGTAGACATGGGTGCTGGGGAAGGTGAGGGAGATGCAAACGTTGCTGATGGGCGGGACGAGGAGCCAATGCCACCTTTACTGAAGCCTGCAAATGTACCTCCTGCCTGTGAGGCGGACGCACCTAAGCCCAAGCCTCCGAACCTAGGTATCTGCTCCTCTTCTTCCTCTTCCTCCTCGCGCACTCTCGGTGATGGTGGTTTCAAAGGCTCTTCCTCTTCCTCTTCCTCTTCCATGTCCTCCTCAGCACCGCCCAGCTCATTCTCTACCTCATCACCGTGCTCATCCTCTTCACCTTCGTCCTTCATCTTGGCATCAACATTGGTAGTTTTGTCCATGTCGACCTTCTCCCCCGACACGAAGGCCGGTGCCTTCGCCCAATCCCTCCGTCGTTCGGGTTTCCCTCCCTTTCTTCTTCCAAGACTTTCTTCCCCTTCATCGTCACTCGCAAAAACTCCGTAGATAGCGTCCTCTTTGCCATCTCTACGGCGCCGCTGGCGCTTGTACGGGTTCTCGAAGAGCTCTCGCTCTTCGCGGGCATCAGGATTACTATCGTCGAAAGTGGTCTCGTTGAAATCGTCAGCGTCAGAGACAGAAGAAGAGTCCGAGTCGTCTTCCAGCAGTTGGCGTTTTCGTCGGGCCATATCCGCTCAGGGATAGAAGAGAGAGAGAGCTTGTAAGTATCGAGTGAAGTGAATCTCAGCCACCGAGCACTGAACCGCTTATACGCAGACCGTGTGAATATAACTCCAAACATATCGATGCGTATGTAATCAACGCCACCGAGTGCTAAACGCGACCAGAGTCAACGACGTGGCTATCTAGTTTCAAGCTTGCGTTGTATCGCGACGCTTACTCATCTTCAACTATGGAGCTGGACTCTTTGACTCGCAGCCAGGAAGGAAGGTGTTTCAACACCATGTCTTGGAAGGCATCAAAGGAAACGCTTGCCTGTGCGATCTCCGCAGATCTGTACAAGATCTGAGCACTGCCGTACCAAGTCATTTTACCAGGACTCTCCACTGTCGCCTGCAATGAGGCCTGAGGCTTCGATGTTGGGCAAGGCGCTTCAAGACCTGCAGGAGGATGCATGCCTTGGCCAAAGTGATATCTGCTGTTCTCGAAGCCGTCCAATTCAACCTGATCGTGCGCACGATATGTGCAACGATTCCTAGTGGCGCCCCATGAGTCATTGCGAAACTCTTTCGACATCCTTATCTGGTGCCTATGTATCGAGCTTCTGGGCACCACTTAGCGAGATTACCTTGCCAGGTTCGCCCTGTACTCCATTCGTACATAAGGGAGAAAGGTCACAGGCTTGCAGTGAGTCATCCGTTCTTGCCTCCTTCACTGTTATGGCACCTACAGCGATCGAGCAGTCAAGCCAGGCAACGAGCAACGGCACCAAGCCCACGCTTAAGCCAACACGTATTCTTCACCGGACTCCATGGACGCCACCCGTCGCCGCTTCGGCGCAGGGGATTTACGTAACGCTAGAAGATGGGCAAACGCTTATTGATGGAGTCGGAGGCGCTGCCGTCGCCTGTATTGGCAATGGCCATCCTGAGGTGACAAGGGCGTTGAAGGAGCAGGTGGATAAGGTGGCATGTAAGTATCCACAACGCGTCGTGGTGTTTCGGTCTATAATGAACGTATTGCTCCCCATTGTAGACGTCTACAATATGCAGCTCTCCAATCAGCCCGCAGAGGAGCTCGCAAAATTCATCATTGATCACAGCGATGGAGCCTTCGAGCTCTGTGGGTTCGTTTCTGGAGGTGAGTCGATATGCTTCTCGTGACGAAGTTCGACTGAAGAAAATGTGGTTTGATTCTCAGGAACGGAGGCTATGGAAGGCGTTATGAAGCTGGCTCGTCAGGTAAGCTCTCGCACTATTTCTCACGTCAGCGACCGCTGATCTTGAACATCTCTCTCCAGTACTTCTATGAGAACAAGCAGCCGCAGCGCAAGAATTTCATAGCTCGCCAGCTGTCGTTCCACGGGAACTCAATTGGGACTTTGTCTTTGGCGATGCATCCCACACGCCGGGCACCGTATGCTGCCATTCTGGACGATCAGCATTTCCATCACGTTTCTCCTGCATATGCGAAGCGCTTCCAGAAGCCCGACGAGACCGAAGAACAATATGTCGAACGCCTGAGAAAGGAGCTCGAGGACAAGTTCCTCGAGCTCGGTCCGGATACAGTTATTGGCTGTAAGTGTCTCATTTGACGCCGTGTTGACTATGTTGACTAGTGATTGCAGTCGTCGCGGAAACTGTTGTTGGAGCAACCACTGGCGTTGTGGCGCCCCCCAAGGGCTACTTCAAGGCAATGAAGTCAGTTTGTGACAAGTATGGAGCCCTGCTCATCCTTGACGAAGTGATGAGTGGGATGGGCCGTGAGTGCCGCCGTTATCCCGCAATATGCGTTTGCTAAAGATAAGACAAGGCTTGGGTACACTGCATGCATGGCAAGGCTTTGGCGACGGCATCTCGCCTGATATTCAAGCTGTTGCAAAGGGCCTTGGAGGAGGGTGCGTGCCCGTCAACTATCATCGAGTGGACAGCTGAGCGGACCGGAGCATCACTCTAGATATGCATCAATTGGTGCAGTTTTGATGTCCAAAACGGTCGCTGATGGCATCCGCGATAGTGCTGGCTTCTGGAAGCACGGTCACACCTATCAGGTAGGTATCTCTGCTACCAAGCAGGATGTGTATTTAACGCGTGTGCCATTTCAGGCTCACCCTTTGGCTTGTGCAGCCTCCTTGGCAGTGCAGAAGGTGGTCCTCAAAGAGAACCTTCTTGAAAACATCCGCGTGCAGGGCACGTATATGGGATCTCTCCTTCGCGAGCGTCTCCAGTCTCCAAACGCCCTTGCTGCGCCGTTCACGTTCGATGTTCGCGGCCGTGGCGGATGGTGGGGCATCGAGTTTGATTTTTCCTGCCCCGAGGCTGCCAAACTTGACTTCAAAGGTGATCACTTTGCCACGATGGTGCAAGCCCGTTGCATGGAAAAAGGCTTGATCATCATGGGTTTGACGAGCGGTGCTAACCTAGAAGGTACGGCTGGTGATCACTGCATGCTCTCTCCGGCATACAATGTGACTCGGGAGCAAGTCGAGAAGATCGTCGACCTCTTTGTTGAGGGTGTTGAGGATATGCTAAAGGCGAGCACCGTCTAAGAGCATGCGCATAAGCAATTGTAATGTACCAGTGTAAACATCTCGATTTCATTGTCAATTGGAGCGTCAGTCGCCACAACTTTGAGTCGGAGACGGCGGAGTTTTAAATGCCCGAGTACGCGTCGAGCGCTTGACGCATTGGTAACCCTGAGCTTGTCGCCGCCACAACCTCGTTTGTACCGTACCGCCAGTCGATAGCCTTGAAGACAGGAAATCGATGGCTCGCTGCATGCTCTAAATGGACTACACCCATCACCAAGAAGCGAACAGTAGCTGCAGCACATCCGCATCGCAACCTGCACAGCCACCTACTTCAACGCCAGGGCCCTCGAGCGAACCCAAGGCACTGCGATCCAGTGCAAGAGTCAAAGCAGCGAAGCAGAAAGAGAAGGAGAAGGAACTCCATTCTGCGGAACAAGCATCGTCCTCGGTTGTACCAAGCAAGCGCACGCGCGAGCCCGTCTTGGCTAAGGGAAAGGGAAAGGAAGTGTCAGAGGACCATACACGATCGAGCAAGAGGTACGCCTATCCGCATTACCTCCACGAGACATTACATAACTCGATGTCCAACAGAGCACGCCGTGCTGCCTATTCTGCCAGCCCTGCTCTAACTATTCGCGAAAACATCCGAGACGCCAAAGGCAAGAAGCGCGCTCAACCTGAAAGTCATTCTGAGGAAGAGGAGAACGCCGCTTCATCTTCTGCTGCCACAGCTACGACAAAGAGAACAAGAACTACTAGTAACTACTCTCTCAGATCCAGGACAGAAGTTCAGTCATCCTCTGACATGACAAAGAAGTCTAGGTATGTCCAATACTACCTGTCTCCGTTTGTGCCACTCAATTTTGTCATCAGGCCCGCCACTGGTAAAGGCAAGGCTGCAACAAAGAGCAAAGCAATGGCTGCAGCCGCCAGCTCGTCCAATAGAGAGGAAGGTGACATCGACATGATGGACACTGAGTGTATTGCAAACGAATTGAGCCAGCCGAATGAGAAGCATGATGAGCGAGACGAACGATCGCGAGCGGAGGAAAGTGTTGAAGAAGTCCCTGACGACGATGAAGGCGATGATCATGACGATGGCCACGACGACGAGTCTGAAGAGTCGCCGAGAGGGCCCGGTGGCATCGATGAGGCCTCAGCAATGGCTATATTCGGTGACTATCGTCAGCTTGGATCGTATATGATGGGCCTTTCAAATCGCCTCAAGACCATGCTGAACAACATCAAGTCCACAGCAGATCCGACAACACGCCTCGTCACTCTGCAGGAACTCAGCGAGCTGCTCAGCATTAGTACCGAAGACACCCTGGCAGGCTCCTTCCAAGTCGAGTCTTATATTCGAGAGCTTGTTCGTATTCTCGGCGGGACAGGTGGTGATGCTGATGAAGGTGATGATGACGAGCCGGCGGAAGTTGACGAAGATGCCGCTTTGGCTGCAGCGCTAGCCATGAGCACAGGTGGCTCACCGTATCAGGGTGATGAGAACCCGGAAGCTCAAGTTCTAGCCTGCAGATGTCTCGCCAACTTGATGGAGGCGCTTCCAGGCGTCGCTCACACTGTCGTCTACCATGGAGCCATCCCTGTCCTGTGTAGCAAGCTAATCGAGATCTCGTATATTGACTTGGCAGAGCAGACGCTCAGCGTGAGTTTGAATCTTTCGTCACTATCTCAGGGTTCGTTTCTAACAGAATTGCTTGACTTGCAGACGTTGGAAAAAATTTCGGAAGAGTTCCCAAGTTCGATCGTCCGCGAGGGCGGCCTGGCTGCGCTACTGAACTATCTCGATTTCTTCTCAATAGCTGTTCAGAGGACTGCTCTGCAAGCCGCTTCCAATTGCTGCCGCAATGTGTCGATAGAACATTTTCCGATGATCCGTGGAGTGTGGCCCATTATTCGCAATTGCTTGGGATACGCTGACCAGAGATTGGTCGAATATGCTTGCTTATGCGTTATTCGAGTTGTGGATGCGTACTTCCGTGCCGCGCCCGACAAGCTGGAGGCGTTGGTCGACCTGGACCTCATTCGGGCAGTGAATCTGCTCCTGCTCCCTTCTGGTGGATCTCCTTTGATTGCTGCCAGCACATTCACTCTGTTGCTACGTGCACTCGCCAATGCTGCCCGTGCAAGCCCCAGGATTACGCTAGTGCTCCTGGAAGCCGGTATTGTAGATACACTCTACCAAATTCTTACAGGTGTACTACCTTCGGCCTGCGAAAATGGTGACGAACAAGGAAATGCCGGTGATGGTCAGGGACTCGGTGGCGGCCTTGCAGACATGACTGTAATGGAGAATTTGGCACACCGTCCTAAAGATCAGATAGAGGAAGCATTGAGTCTCGTCTCGGAGCTGATGCCACCACTGCCAAAAGGTGCGTTTCCCATATTGTCCTCATCCAGTGTTCCTGACATAGCGTAGACGGAGTATTTGATCACAAATCCTATTCAGAAAAGGCGGTATCGAGGTTGGCAAAGGCGAAAGCTAAGGCAGATCGGGCTGCCGCACGTCAGGCGACAAACACGGCTACTGGAGTAGATGTGGCTCAAGGACCTGCGGAATCCGTCCCGACGTCGTCATCGTCCGCGGTAGTCGAGGATCAATCAGCTCTAGACAATGGTGCAGCAGACTCCCAATCAGTCCAAGACGGCGATGACTTACCACCAGCTGCACCCACGAAGGAGGGCAGTGTGGATCGTACGGAATTATTGCGGTCGAAGCCTGAACTGGTGGGCCGGTTCATGCGTTTGATGGTGCCCATACTCGTCGATGTCTATGCGGCCAGCGTGAATACGCCGGTACGGATCAAAACCCTCACTGGTCTGCTCAAGGCTGTCAGCTTCCTGGATGGAGACGAGCTGAACCGTGTCTTCACTGTGAGTTTGTGTATTGTTGAAAAGGCGTGTGTATTGAATGAGTTTTCAGTGTGTTCCTATCGCCAGCTTCGCGTCATCAATCTTGTCTGCGAGGGACCAACCACCGCTTGTCATTGGCGCGCTTCAGCTAGTCGAACTGCTACTGAGCAAGGTCCCTGCGGAGTACAAGCCGGTCTTCCGTCGCGAAGGCGTGCTTCATGAGATTGAGACCCTTGCAGCCCGCGCTTTGAATTCCTCGAAGTCCAAGGAGAAAGAAAAAGACAAAATCTCACCAGAATTACCCTCGCCAGCGGAATTGATGGCCTCAGCATCATTGCCGGCATCCCTTACTATCGCGGCATCCTTCCCAGGCTATAAGAAGCTGTCGTCTCTGTCCATCGACCCGGACGATGCTATCACTCTCCGTGCACGTGCCATTCGCTTGAAGTTCCTGAGTGGCGGAGATGATACGCAGAGCGATGACGTGTTCTCCGCCTTACGTCGCCTTGTCGAGTCGCTCATGAACACTTCGGCATCGGAGAAGGAGCTAAGTTCCACATTGAACGAGCTAGCTGCTTTGTTTGCCTCTCCTACGACCTCTGTGTCTAGTTTCGAGCTTCTGCAGAGTGGCGTTGTGGATGCATTGCTCCATCTGATGACTGATGAGGGTTGGACCGGTGAGTGATAGCCTGTTGCTACTTATTCAGGCCTTCTTACCATCGTTCTCTGACAGTCGGCGTGAGTCAGCGGCATGAAATGCTGTTCTCTGCATTCACCACTCGGAAATCAAGGGGTCAGCCAATCGGGCAGACACCATTCTCCACCTTCGTCAAGAAGCTTCAGGAGAGTTTGACTAGGATGGAGTCGTTTGAGGTCATAACTGTGGCTCAGAGTGCAGATGGTAAGTTTTAAAGAATAATTTGCGAATGTGGGGACCGCATATGCTGATGCTGCGGATAGATTCGAAACGAAGCTCTCCTTCCTTATTGGCTAGACAGCTCCGTCTTAGGTTGGTAGCAGCCGACGATTCTGACATTCCGAAGAACCTCAGCAACATAGTCGTGTCTATTCACGCAATCGCCACATTCCAAGCGTTGCACGACTATCTCCGACCAAGAGTTGCTGGCTCACTTCCTAGCAGTTCGCGTCTATCGGGAATGCTCGCTGCACTCGCAGCATCCGGATTCGCTCCACCGTCCTCCTCACGCAGCGGTCTTGCCGAGGCTCCCAAGGCTGCATCTGTATCCCCTGCCGCTGAGAATGTTTCTAAGGAAGTTAGTGTGACCCGTCGCCGGAGCTCTCGGCTGAGTGCGAAACAGTCCGTAACAGCAGAGGCGGCCACTACCGCAGCAGCTGAAGTGCAAGCACCAGCCGACGGGGAGAAGAACGAAGCTGTCCCTTCTTCCGCTGCACCTGAGTCTGCAGAAGGCTCATCGTCGGCGCTGACCACTTCTTCCGGCGGAACTGTAGTCCATGAGCCGGAGTTTGAGGCCGACTTCACTGATGATGAAGTCGACGTTGATGCGGAGGTAATTTCTAAGCTCTACCGCCATTAAAATTTTACACTGACACAAAGTATGATCAGGTTCTTGAAGATGAAGATCATGTAGACAACCCGGATGCAGACAAAACCGTCACTGTATCTGTTGGAGATGGTGTGTGATACTGTTTATGCAGGCTGTAATCACTCATTCACTGCTTCTTCAGATGGTTCGAAGGTCGAGGCACAAACGCCTGATGGTACCCGCGTTCCTACGCCAGCACCGTCGAAGGGACGGGGTGCTCTGTCGACGTCTAAAGGTCCATCGACACCGGGCGCGTCATACGCGGCTGCCTTGAAGTCAAAGCCTACCGACTGGCATTTGGAGTTCTTTATGGACGATCACAAATTGCCTCTCGACCTTACCATCTATGGCGCAATCCACCAGCATGAGCTGCGTAAGAAGTCTGGCCCTGTGTTGTCACCTAGCATGATTTGGCAGGGAGTCTATACCATCAAGTTCAAAAAGGTATCAGGTCCTGCATCTGCGTCGGATTGTACGTCTATTCTATCGCGTCTTATTATCATCGTGCTGAATATAGCAATGAACAGCTCGCACCGATGAGTTGGGAACTAGAAGCAGATCACCAGGACCTCTGTCCTCTTTACCAGAAGACGCTCCTCATGGAAAAATCTTGCGTCTCCTTCGTGTATTGTACAAGCTCAATGCACAAGAAGCTGATCGCGTGTCCTCACTCGGAATTCAGCGCGTGCTTCCGGAATCTTCCTTCGTCAACAACAAGCTAACAGCCAAACTGACAAGGCAGTTGGAGGAACCGATGATTGTCGCGAGGTTGGTATTGCATTTCAAAATACATAGTATTAGTTCCTCGCTTATATTTTCCTTAGCTCCTGCCTCCCGGATTGGGCTCTCGACCTGCCACAACATTTCCCGTTTCTGTTCCCCTTTGCCACTCGTTATAATTTCTTGCAGTCGACGTCATTCGGCTACGCTCGTTTGATCCTGAAGTGGCAGAGTCAACAGACCCGAGGGCAGGACAGCTCCCGTCGTGACGATGGCGTGGGCTTCCTAGGACGTCTACAACGTCAGAAGGTCCGGATCTCTCGTCAGCACATCCTAGAGTCAGCTGTCAAGGTCTTCGAGTTGTACGGCTCCTCGTCTTCCATACTGGAGGTGGAGTACTTTGAGGAGGTTGGCACTGGGCTCGGTCCGACGCTCGAGTTCTACTCGCTTGTGTCAAAGGAGTTTGCCAGGAAAGACCTCAAGATATGGCGGGATGCAGATCCTCTCCTGTCCGGTCCATACGTGCATCATCCCTTAGGTCTATTCCCAGCGCCTATTAGTCCGAGCAGTATAGCAAATGACGGCGGACAGTGAGTGATACGTCTTACTTGCAGTCATCTACCCTGACGCATCTCTTTCTTTAGGAAGCGAACCCATATCTTCCGTGTTATAGGGCAGTTCGTCGCAAAGGCGATGCTTGACTCCCGCATCATCGATCTGTCATTCAACAAGACTTTCCTGAAACTCATCCTCGGAGAGGAGGTTCCTCTGACGGTTGAAAACCTCAGGGTAGGTGTTTGAAGCTATCAGACTCATTCTTGTGCTGACAGCAATTTCGTAGCGCGTGGATCCTGACCTTGCGACTTCGCTCGCTCAAATTCAAGGCCTCGCCCTGGCAAGCAGTCAGAACGACAAGGTGTGTTATACATGTTCGTAATACAGTCATTTTTATAACTATTCTTAGATTCTCCGCAAGCTCGGGGTCGTCGGTGATGTTACGGTCGAAGATCTCTCTCTGGATTTCACAATACCGGGCTATGATATCGAATTGAAGGTAAGTCGCATACTCTGCGTTATAAGCATGTCTCTTCCTCAATGTTATGATCGCAGCCCGGTGGCCGCGACATTGCTGTGACGTCTCAGAATGTGGACGAGTATGTATATCAGGTCCTGGATGCCATTATCGGCAAGGGCGCGCAGCTCCAGGCGAAGGCGTTCCGAGAGGGATTTTCCAAGGTCTTCCCGATCGCCGATCTACAAGCGTTCACAACAGACGAGCTGGTGATGCTGTTCGGAAACGCGGAGGAGGATTGGAGCTTAGAGAGTGCGTTTTTGACTTACATCATGACCTTCCCCTGATATTGACCTACTTTTACCCCTTTTTTCTCCAGCATTGAGTGAAGCATTGAAGGCTGATCACGGCTTCAATGTCGAGAGCCGTGCCATTCGCGACTTGTTGGAGATCATGTCAGAATTTGATGCTCCCACTCGCCGCAGCTACTTGCAATTTATCACTGGCAGTCCGAGGTTGCCTATAGGTGGTGCGTATGATGCGTCTTCGTCCGTGCTCACTGGTGCTGATTCATCATTTGTTTAGGCTTCCGAGGACTCAATCCACCACTGACTGTGGTACGCAAGCCACATGAAGCGCCGCTCGCCGCGGACGACTATCTCCCCAGCGTCATGACGTGTGTCAACTACCTGAAGTTGCCAGAGTACTCGTCGAAAGCGGTCATGCGGGAGAAATTACAGATCGCAATGAAGGAAGGAATTGGCAGTTTCCACTTGTCATAGTATCGCGGCATCTTTTATCATTCATACTGTGCTTTCGTAATTGTGCTTTTACGTAGAGTCTGTCAAATCGGACGTTAGTAAATCCATGTTATTATGCTCACACGTCCTGCACTCCAGTTGTGGCCCTGCTGCGATAGTTCGAAAATATTAATGTTATTAAAGCATGTCGAAAGTCTCTACAACGATGTACATCGAACACGAACACGAATGCATAAGTTCGACTCCTCATCTGACTGCTTTAAACTGTCGAGAACCGTTATTTCCGCGAAGGAAACTCCCATCGCAACGCCAATCCTGGCAGCAAACATCGCGACAGTATGCGAATCAATGGACCCCGCCAGCGGGATGCGGGATCTTTTATGATTCGCATACTGTCGCGATGTTCGTGCAGGGAGGTCTCCAACCGCGTCTGTGCGAGCGCACCTAGCTCGACGTAGTACCGCGGACGAAGGGCGCGTACAGATCATCTTCTCTCATGAACTGTCTGTCCAACGTCGTTCATCCACATATGCAGTAATTTCGCATGAATGTCCGAATGTCCTGTCCGAGAAAGCCCTTGCTCAAACCGATGCCACAGTATCTGCTCGACATCCATCACGCCAGACACCTTCATCCACCCACCAATTTCCGCATTGAGGCACAGCCCAATTTCTTCGACTGTTGTGCTTGGATAGACATCGAAATTTGCGGACGATGGTCCAGACGGGGTCGTCTGGACAGCGATGGATTTGTACCATGTACGTTCGATTCTGGCTTCGCCACTCTCGTTTCGGCCGTCTGTCCTTCAGTTCGTTCCTTGCGGAATGACTTGGGGATGTGAGTGCAGCTTGGCACCTAATTCTCTTCCTGATCCATGGGATAGAATAGATATACGGGAGAGCCTCAGAGGTTCGTGCTTGATTGAATTGTTCACCGTGTCCGTTCTTGCTGCGTGAGTGGGTAAACTCCGAGAAAGGGCTGCATAAAGTGAGGGCTGCATAAAGTGAGGGCACGCAAATAATGCTGCTGTCCAGATGAACTGGGATGAGCAGGACGAAAAGTAACTCGCAATTGGATGGCTCGGAAGTAGTTTTAACTTTTCGCTGAAATACCCACGTGATCGTGCACCTTGATGCTACAGGCGCCGGCGTCCGAAAAGGATTCTTTGCTTACTAAGGTTTTGCCACGTGGAGACTAATGACTAAGCCATTTGCGGAAGGCGTACATCGAGTTCGCGAGTGTTCTGTCCTGATCACTTTGTTCTACCTGCAACCACCATGTCGAAACACCATCCAGGTGAGCGCGATTCATTATATTATGGTAGTTGCATTGCTGACAGTACGTTAGATCTAATCATGTGCAGGCGCCAGCCAGGCATTGGTGAGTATCTTCCAGTCCGGTTGAGTTTCAGTTATTGACCATCATTTTGCTAGCCATTGGCCGTCTATGTGAGAAGTGCGATGGAAAATGGTACGTCTGCGTGACCTTGCCTCATAATGTGGAAGAGTGCTGACGTGTTCCCCCAGCCCTGTCTGTGATTCCTACGTACGCCCAGAGACCCTCGTGCGTATTTGTGATGAGTGCAACTTCGGTACTTACGGAGGGCGATGCATCATATGCGGTTCACCTGGTACGTCCTTTTGACTAATCCATGCTACTTGAATACTCATGGATCGATTTAAGGTATCTCTGACGCATATTATTGCGCCGAGTGCACACGATTAGAGAAGGACCGTGACGGTTGTCCAAAGATCGTGAACCTTGGTGCCAGTCGGACGGACCTCTTCTATGAGCGGCGTCGTCTAGGTATGTCAATCCTGTTTTGTCCTACATGCAGTGTTGACTGACTGTATGCTTTGCTAGGCTTCAAGAAAGGTTAGGCCGTGTAGACGATGCGCCGGTGGCGCCTGTTTACCCTGTTGTACCATTACCCTCTCTGTTATACATTCCTTTGTGCTGTATGCATTCTTCTTGGTCATTCAGTGCAGATCGACCACTTGCAATTGCCGTTAACATCGCTTGAGGTCTCGCGTCGCGTCTTATGTGATGAGTTGTATCCGGCCTGAACGCTGCTTGAACCTTGGTGGCAATGCAGCACGATAGTCCACGTCAGACTAGTACAGTGTACTTCGGGCTGGCAGCTACTCAGTGGTTTCGTTCTCTAGTAGACTTCGTGCGCGGTGTTTTCTTTCTAGAAAAGCAATCAATATATTGATCAATGCTCGTCCATGATGCGGAAGGTCCCTTGGCTTTGAGCTCAGCAAGTCAGTTATTCCCTCCTTCAGTGCGGTAGCCCCGCCAGTCCGACTGTCACCTCTGTTCAGTAGTGTCAATGATTTATGCATATGATATATATAACTGCATGTTGTATGGTATCTTTCCTATAACTTATAGGCCCGCGAACGCAGAGACTTGCCTTATTTGTGTCGAGCGCGTCGCGCCCAACTGTGGCCGCGCAGGCTATGGCCCTCCATCAACATCAAGGTATCTTCAACTTCATAGCTGCAGCCGTTCACCATGTCGGCCAGCCAGCCCTTCTCTTCTCTCGCCCTCTCATCGACCTTCCAACCATCCCTGTCGACAAACTTCCCAACATCACTCTCAAGCACACTCCCAACAAGGATGCCCTCCCTCGCCCCCGGTCAGGCCCCCGGCGAACCATCTGAGCCCCAATCCATGTCTGCAATCCTCCTGGAGCCGCTCGAGCACCTGTCCTCTCTCTCCCAGCAGCTCTTCCGCTCGCTCGGGCTGCCCGCCTCCAAGCCGCCCCCGCCGCCCTTCCCGCCTGCTAGCGCGCTCCTTGCCGCAGATGCCGCGCTCGCTGACGCGGTGCAGCGTGCGCGCGCGCACCAGGTACGCCAACGGCGCATCGAGGCGCTCAAGGAGGAGGTGCTCGCGCTCGAGCGCCGCTGGCGCGCGATCGTGAGCGAACTCGAGGAGGGACGGCGCGAGCTTGAGGAGGTCGTGCGCGAGGGCGAGGTGCGGACGAAAGCTATCGAGGAGGCGAAGGCAGGCAAGTGATGCGTATTGTGTCCATGTTAATGATGCGGTGATGAGCTGACGCGCGCGCAGCTGCGGTACTGTACCCGGAGCTCCTCACGTATGCGCATAAGATCTCCTCCTTCACCTCCGCCCCACCCAACATGCCCGAACCATCCATGCCCGGCCAGCCCCCACCGCCGCTCTTCTTCCCGCCCTTCCCGAACGAGGAGAAGATGCGTCGCGGCCGCATGAACGACGAGGAGCCGCTTGGGCTCCTGGGCGAGACACACTCCGTCGGAAAGCGTGAGTCCGATTGCGATCTGTGCATCTGACTGAGCTACATAACGCTGATGTCGTGTGCAGCCCCGACGGTACAACCCAAATCTGTCGAGATGCCTCCGCACCTCGCGGGCCCTGGTGCGCATCCATACCGCCCGGAACTTCGTCATCCACAGCAGGAGTTCTTCGACTTCGACTTGGACCTTAACCCCGACCTATGAGCAGTTGTATGAAGAGGCATGCAAGTTGCCCACACTAATAACTGCGTTGCCCATAGACCGCAACAACCGACCTGCTCGCCGTGGCCGCCGCCGCGTCTGCTGCAAGGCCCTGATCTTATGGACGGAATCGGTCTGCTGCGCCTGCTATCATTCAGGCCGCGACACTCACATCATCGTCCAGTAGAAGAAGTTGTTTACTACACGATAACATGACAGTAAGAATAGATAAGTAATACAGTCTAATGTGCACTACTAGAACGTGATCCAGAATTCTATAAGATATGGTATATCGGATAGGGAATGATTGGCTGTGGTTCGTTAATGTCAGAAAATCGCCTGCGCGCGGACATACCGCCATCAGTATCGCGCTAGACCGCAAGCAAAAAGAAAAGCCCACGTACTTGAACAAGCCGATATCAATCTATCACATCGTCGTCCGTCCGTCAGCATCAAATGTAACGAAGCCAAGAGAGGGCGGGAGAGGAAACGCACCGGGGACTTGAATATGACAAACACATGATTATCGTTGTGCGTGTCTACCGTGTGGCACACCTCGCACAGGTCGAGCGAGCAGTACCCGCACCGGAACCACTCCCCGTTGATCTTCGTCATACACCGGTCGCATACCGCTGTCGAATGCAGTAGGTGTTTGAGGTACTCTGTTATGCCCCAGTCTGATCAATGTTCCACTTTACTTTGCAAATGCTGTGGAGACTCACCTCTTGGATGGTCCGGATCGAACGACCCATCGGGTGGCCCCGCAGGGATCTTGTATCTGATATGGCCGTAAGATTCAATACTCTCGGGAAACTCTGTGTTCCATGCACGTACATCCGGGGCACCAGTGGGTACTCGACCTGCAGCGGCCTGTCGACCGGCCGAGGAATCTGGAAAAAGACGTGCATCGGGTCATGCAGGAGATATGAGCGTGTCTCGCATGTCGCACACTGCGTAGGATATAAGCGATGAATCCAGGAGAAGAATTCCCTCGGACGCACCAGGTTGAACGGCTTCGGTACGGAAACGCACGTCGCGCACTGATATCGCACACCGATGATACGCTGTCGCATTCGTGAGCAGGCACACACGTATAGATCGTCAGTGCATACGCACCTTATCGCACGCATCGCAGCGCACCCCATGGTCCTCCGTCTCCGGTGCCATCGACGCATTGTCCAGGGAGGATCCTCCGCTCCGACAGCCGGTCCCGATGACCGTGCGGTCGTATGCCGACATAAGTGAGTTCCGCCGGGACTTGACGCGTTGACCCGTAGCGGCATCTCGTCCACTCCAAAGACTCTTCGCTCTCTGGCTGGCAGATTGCAGCTCGGCGGTTGGCAGAGGGTATGGGATCTGTGGTAGTGAGCATTGTGGTTTAGGAGATGCGGAAGCAGATGGCATACCTTGATCATGATATGCGACGAGTTGTGTCCACCATCGGACGAGTCGAGGTTGCCGGGGAGTCCCGCAGATTCGCAGTTCGAGCATATATCTACCGAGTCGCAGATCGCGCAGTGGAAACGCGCGCCGACGATGTCCTGCATGCAACTGAGATGTGCAACAAGTCAGCGTTATGTAATGTTATCTGAGACAAGAGGTAGATATCACGTACTGCATGCATTTTACTCCAGGATGCTTCAACGCTGTCGTAACAGACATTTTGTTAGACGCTTCGCATGAAGTACTCGGCGAAGCACTCACAACGCTCTCCTTCCATTGTGGGCATCATAGGCGCGATGGTTGACGCTGAACCTGCCCTCAATCTCACGTTCTTGTCCGGAACCACAAGGAATGCGTGTGACGGGTGGATCTCGTGCACCTGGCTATATACCCCACGCATATCAACAGAGACTAGTACTGCAGCACGTATAACCATACCTGTAGCACGCCTTGCACAAATTGAAATTCTCGCACGATGCGCACTTGTAACGATGGTTCACGATCGCAGTCCCGCACGTCGAACACGAGCATGTCGAATGCTCATCTTGCTCTAAAAGATGACTATCAACATCGCAGCTCAATAGTGACAATGCTGATCACATACCGACATCCTGCCAGCCCTTGTGGCCCCAGCTCTTCTCGACATACGCATGCCTCAGCTGGCCCTTCTGGGTCGGCGCCGACCGCCTCCACTGGGACATCGCGCGCTGCGTAGCCTCGGGCGTCATGGGCCACTGCGAGAGGCCCGGCGACATCCCCGGCGCGACGCTCATCTCAAGCGCGTGCGTCACGCCCGCGGTCGGGAGACATTGCCAGCATAGCTCGTAGCCCGCGCTAGAGCTCGCGGGCGCGCCGTTCGTCGCGCTTATCATGGTGGAGGACGAGAAGGAGGTGGAGAGTGCGCTGGGCCGCGCGGGTAGGGGAGGAGGTGTCTTTGGTAGTGATCTCGCGGAGAGGGTGGACTGTGAGAGGGTGTTCATGGGGATGGCGGAGGAAGATAGGAGGGACCAGTCGGATGTGGATGGTGAGGGACTTGGAGTGTGCTTATGTGATGCTGAGGAGGGAGGGAAAAGGTGCCAGTCGTGCTCAGTGCCATGTCCATTCTCGAGATCGAACGGTGACGCTCTGTCCTTGCCCTTACTTCCACTGGACTTGGATCGCACATCCTCTTCAGTGCGAGCCTCCACCGAAGGCTTCGGCTGCTTCTCGCCACACGTCGAACAGACGTACCGGATCGTGTCGAGCACGACGCCGCACTGGGAGCAGTGAGGCGGGTTCTGTGGCGGTGCGGGCGGGATAGCTGTGATGTATTGCAACACCTCGGGCGGCACGTCTGGGTGGATATAATTTGCTGGGAAGTCTTCGGCGATTGAGTCGCGCGAGGACGAGGCGTTCGCGGAGGAAGACGAGGCCGATGAAGAACGGTGCAGGTCAGCGCTGTTACTTGGGCCCGGATCGGCCTTCTCCTCTTGGAACTCCTGATGACCGACCTCCATGGACGTCGGCCGGCTCCGTGAAGGATTAGCAGCAATGCTAGAATGGTTTATGTCGGAGGCACCGTCGCTCTGCGACGCTGCATAGGAGCTGCCCGCAGTATATGCGAAGTAGTACTTGCCGCTCGAGTCCTGTTGCAGCGCCAGCTCGCCGCTGAGCACCGAGGCCATCTCGTCGAGCGTGTTCGTTGACGGCTCATACGACTTTTCCGAGGGCGACGGCAAGTCGCCTAGCATTGACTTCATCGTGCGCGCGTTCTGGTCGCGGAGCCACGCCGCACCGCGTTCGGAATGGAGCGTCGACGAGCCATAGCTCGAGCCGGGCTGCTTGCTGTGGAGGTCTTCTTCCAGCTTGAGGCGCTCAAAGACCGCGGATGGTTCCAGCGCAGCCTGCTCGTCTCTGAACGGATCTTCGACAACTGGTACCGGTGCTTGTGAATAGGAAGAATGACCCAGAACGTCCGAATCTAATGTTTGCGGAATGCTGGACACCGTCCCAAGCTCCCATCCATCCCCATTGGTAGACTGCGGTGGTGACTTTGTGAGCAAAGGTTCGCGGCTTGGAGCAGAGACCACAGTCTTTGGGCCGCGCGCACGGAATACATCGTACTTTGACCCCATGTCCTTCGAGCTGACGGTGACAGAGTCGTCCTCCACCTCCTCTGGAGGATGCGACTCGAGGTTGAGCGACAACTCGCTACCATTGCGATTACTGTATTCGTCGAGACTGACTAGTGAAGAGGTGTCTGATAGACTCGGGCCATCATATTCCACTGTGATGCGCACGCGCAGCGTGATCTTCCCTCTTATGAGGCTGCGGCCGGACAAGATGGATGAGGAGGATGACACAGGAGGGTCGTCGTGCACGGGATAGACATAGCGAATGGCTTCCGTCAAATCCGAATCTGTCGCGATGTCTGTTACTTCGCCATCATCGTCGGTGTACGTAATGGCAAACGGGATCGCAAACAGGGAAAAGCATTGCTCTACCTAGACTTTGATCAGCGCACTCATCCGGCATGATCGAGCGCGCCACTCACCCTTTGTCTCAGTAGTTCGTAGGTGCATGTGCGCGTAGAGTTGAAAGTGATCTTCCTGAGGGCTTCATCGTACGTACACTTGACTACGAGCGCTTTGTCCGGACGGGACTCGGTAGCATCGTATACTGACGCGCCATAGTCAGAGTATGACATACGGTACCTAACATGTAATGGCTGCGCATCAGCATTCCCGCCCCAGACGCGAGTTCCACTAATGGGTCAAGTAGCAGTCAAGACACATCACCTTTAGGTCTACAGCTTTGGAGGGGTTATGGAGATCCAAAGAGGTTTGAGCACAATGTTACTTCTTTGAGCACAAGCAGAAATCTTAAGACCGCGAGCACCACTTCCAGCAAACGTCGTCAAAGCCACGAGGATGTGAGCCTATGTGGCCTCCAGATTGCGAGAGTAACGATCCGAGTACCTTTACGAGATCGGCGGCGAGTGAGCTCGGCCTAGTACAGCTCTGCCCGGACTGTGCACAACTAGACGCCCATGACCGCGCTTAGTCACGTGGCCTCATTGAGTGTCTAAGCGCCCATCAGCACTGGCGGTTGCCGGCCCTAAGCCAAGATGGTCCGTGCGCAAGCCCTGATCCCCTTATAAGCAAGAGCGCAACGTTCGAACACCTCATACTTACCTTGATGGCACATCCCCCTTCATCTACCTAGGAGTGTGGGCCGTGGGGGCCACTCATAGCACGGCGACCCTGTCCTCAGGGGGAACCTGCGGTTTGTATGGGCTTCGGCTCATGCACCGTCTCAATATTTCCCTGTCCCGCTTCGGCCCTCGGGCTGGGCGGGCCATTTTTTTTGGTTCTTGCACTCCCCTAACCCTAACCCCACATACCAACGTTTGGCACATATTAGGCACGTGTTGCCACCAGGCGGCAACGCTGGCATTTCCCTGCTTGATTGCTGGGATGATAGTATGCAATGGAGCAGTGACAGGATCCATTGCGATGGCAGATGCAATATGCTGTATCATAGTTTACACCGCAGCGATGGTTTGTTTCGATTGCTGCTACCTCTAAGGCTAATTGCCGAATACATTTCTGCATCTGAAATGATCTACCACTGGTTGAGTAGTGCCGGTTCACTCCCGGCATTAAATTCGTCAACAAGCACACCGGTTCGCAGACCAACGTGCGTGAGTCACTCTCTTGGCTTTGAGGACCCCGCCATCTCAACATCAGCACGAGATAAGGAAAATTCTGTCCACCTGGTTCCGCCATCGTGGCTCACCACTCTGAGCTCCGCACGTAATTGAATGAACATTCTCCATCAACGAAGGAAAGTATATCGGTACATTACCAGAGGGACCTATAATAAGAAGTAGAGTAGGAATACATGCGCGACCAGACTGCTACGGAATCATGCACAATTAGCGCAACAGATATAGCAATATCAAGTATGAAAGTGCCGCGAGAGATCGTACAATGTCCAGAAAAGTCCAACCAGCGGTCACACCAAGTAAACCTGAGCAGCGTCCCGAGCAAAGATACCTTCAAGCGAGTATCTCTGACGACGCGTTTGGAATCCGTAGATCATCAGTGATCTTCTTGCGCGACGCAGCAGCTCTTCTCCATAGCCGAATCCGATGAAGGATTCCTCTGCTCAACTGCGGTTCATCTTTTGGAGGCTTTGGATGCAGCCTGGCGTAGTACTTCTCCAGTTGCCGCCGGAAACCAGCGTTCGGAGAGACAATGCAACGCCTTGAGACGACGAACCCAACGGCTTCTTCCGGATTCATCGGCGTCGTTGCGAGGAGATACGCACAGACGACGGTTGCAGAGCGAGACATGCCCACCAAGCAATGGACCTAGCGTCACGCATTGAGCGAGCCCTCGAAACAACAAAGATCACACGACGCACCAACACCCGATTCTGCTCATTCTCAGTGAGCGCATCCTTTATGAACTCGGTCGTTTCGTCCATGTACTTGAGCAGATTCGCATTCGCCGCATCCGCGACGGGCACATACAGTGTGCGGAGCTGGGGCATGGACTTTGGGAGCTTCGGCGGCTGCTCCATGACGGACACGACGTGCGTGATGCCGAGCGCGACGAGCTGCTCCTCGTCCTGCGCAGTAAAGAGGTTCGCGAGATAGAGGCGGGGCAGAATGAGGGAGGCCGTGCGCCCGAGGATGAGGCGATCGCCCGGGCGGATGCTTGCGGCGGTCTTGACGACGAGCGAGGACTGCGCTCGAGGTGCGCTGAATGCTAACATGTGGGTGGATGAGGGAGAATAAAGAGGGAGAGATTATATGCGATGTCGATTGAGGACATGGCGTTAGCTTGTAATCCCCAGATGGCCAAGCGACCTAGTGCCCGGGAGCATAGCCCGTCGCGGGAGCATAGCCGACGGGCTCGGTAACCCGAACCGGTTCGTAAGGCGCTCCTATAATCGAGCTTGAACTGAACCGGGCTCCTTGCCGCGTGTTGTGGCCCGGCGCTAACGGTCCTCCCGCTCAACTTAATTCCGTGCTTGCTCTCCTGCTCTCGCTGGTCTCGTTCGTCGAGTTGAGCGCACAAGCTATCATGCCGTGAGTGCTATTATCCAACACAAACATCGTTCCAATACATACCACCACTCAGAGGCCCGCTCTCCTGGTTCAAGCACGCAAACGGGCACGACCAACCCACCGCCACCGACATTGAAGATGCCGAGCAATTCGAGCTGCTCCCGGACTCCTCCTCACGCGCTTCCCCGTACATCCGCACGCGCAAATACGAAGACGGCACGACGATCGACTGGCTGCGCGAAGAGGCTGCAGAGCGCAAGCGCAAGCGCGAGCTGGCCACCCAGCGAGGGTTCCGCGGCCTGCGTGCGCGCGTGGTGGACTCGTGCAGCATGTGGCTCGTCATCATCCTTACGGGTCTCGGTATCGGCGTCGCGGGTGCGTGGCTGGACGTGCTGGTGCGGTGGTACGTTGCGTGTTGTGTGCTGAGTGTGAATACATCTCTTGACCCGGTGGCTATATGTAGGTTGAGCGACCTCAGAGAAGGCCGTTGCACGTATGACCTCTTCTACAACCAAGTACTGTGTTGTAGTGGGCTCGACCGTACGCTTTATATCCTTCTATTGCTATCGAGTGCAACTGAGAGTTTTGTTCAAAGCTGGAGAGGTCTGTACCGAATGGCAGACCTGGAGTGAGTATCTGCACGTCAGGAGCATACTCGGACAATCGATCCTCCAGTCGTTCATATACACGGGACTTGCAGTAAGCGGCAGAGTGATCTTATGTATGTTCGCCAATACCGACCGTTGATGCAGCCCGTCTAGGTGGCGTTCGCAGGAAGCGCTGCTGTTCTGGTGAAGACATACGCGCCATAGTAAGTACTACATCCCCATCTCTTATCTTCCCGATTACTGAGAGTACGCAAAGCGCGTTCCACACTGGAAGTGAGCATCCATGTGCCACCCGTTCACATGTATTCTGACGAGCAACCACGCCCTTTAGTCCCAGAAATCAAAGCCGTGCGTAAGGCATATTCTATGGGATTAACACTGGCTAAGTTCAAGACCTCCTAGATTTTGAGCGGCTATGTGCTGGACTCGTTCCTCAGCTCATGGACACTGCTCATCAAAGCGCTGGGCCTGGCACTCGCAGTCGCATCCGGTCTGTCGCTCGGCAAAGAAGTACGTACTTACCAGAAAGTCTCACTAGACCTGCTCCTTATATTTACCCTCAGGGCCCGCTAGTCCATGTATCCTGCTGCATGGCATTCCTTCTTTCCAAGATGTCCCGAAACGTCTACGGCAACGAAGGTACCTCTTTCATCCACTCACGCCCCATCCCCACTCGCGCCCCATCCCCACTGATGCCCTTCTCCGGACAGCCCGCAAACGCAAGATGCTCGCCGCAGCAGCAGTAGCCGGTGTCTCAGTCGCCTTCGGGAGCCCGCTCGGCGGGGTGCTCTTCGGGCTGGAGGAGCTCGACACGTTCGCGAGCGGGACGGACGTGATGTGGCGCGGGTTCGTGACGTCCGTGATTGCGGCGATGGCGCTGCAGTACGTGGACCCGTTCGGGACCGCGAAGCTCGTGCTGTTTCAGGTGCAGATCTCCGAGGCGACGACGGTATGGAGGGCGTTTGAGCTCGTGCCGTGGATGCTGCTGGCGGTGATTGGAGTCAGTGTTGTTGTTATCGACTTGTGTGGGAAGTGGCGTTGATGCTGACTGGGGATGACAAGGGTTTGCTGGGATCGCTCCTTATCAAGCTGAACGCGGCCGCAGCGGTGTATCGGCGGAATAGCATCCTGAATAACTGGCCGACGCTTGAGGTCGTGGGGTTTAGCGCGATCACCGCTGCTGTCAGTTATTTGGTATGTCCTCCACATGCTTTCCCCCATTTTTCTTGGCCTCATCGACCACAGGTAGTCTTTCTGCGCGTCCAGACCTCAGAGCTCGTCGCGAATCTCTTCACGGAATGTGATCCGGCAAAGGGCGACTTCCATGGGCTGTGCAAGTACGTTGGTTATTAGAGCCATCTATGTACTCTCTTGAACTCATGTAACGTTCATCGTTCTCTACAGCGCGACGGCGATCTGGGCGAATGTGTTCCTCCTGATCCTCACCGCAATGACGAAGATCGCCCTCACCGCTTGGACATTCGGCATGATGGTGCGTCACTTTACCATCATCCGAGGCAAATATCTGACCATTTCCTAGATCCCTGCGGGTATCTTCCTCCCCACCATCGCGATCGGCGCTTGCCTCGGGCGCGCTGTAGGGCTCATCACGTACGTCTCTCTTACCGTTCGCGCGAGTCGGCTGATTCTTGACTCGACGCTCGAATGACAGGCAGGGTCTGCACCGCGCGTATCCGGGCGCGTGGATATTCTCGTCGTGCTCGCCGGAGCCGACGGTAAGATGTGTCTCGCCGGGGTTCTATGCTGTGATCGGCGCATCGGCAATGCTGGGTGGCGTCACGCGAATGACTGGTAAGCAGTCTGATACTCCTCCCTGGCGATGGCTCATATACCATATCAGTCTCGCTCGTTGTCATCCTCTTTGAGGCGAGTCACCGCTTCTTTCCTCTTGTCAGTCTCGACGCTGAAGTCGCAATTCACAGCTCACCGGTGCGCTCTCGCACGTCCTCCCGATCATGCTCGCCGTGCTGGTGTCAAAGTGGGTCGCGGACTATGCAGGCGGGAAGGAGGGCATCTTTGCGCGCTGGATCGAGCTGCATGCGTATCCCTGGGTGCCACCGCTCGCGGAGTTCAGGGACCGTGGGGAGACGGCCGCGAGCGTGATGCGCGGCGCGGCAGAGCTCGTCGTCCTGCACGAGGGGGAAGCTGGGTTGGGGTTGGGGGAGCTGGGGGAGGTGGTTAGAGGGGAGAGGTTCCATGGGTTTCCGGTGGTGTGTGGGGAGAGGCTGGTGGGGTATGTGACGAGGGAGAGATTGAGGGCGTATATCGGTAAGCGTATTGTTCACTGGCTTTGGGAAACGGAGAGATTGCTGACCTCATGGGACGCAGAGCCGCTTCTGGAGGAGGACCAGGCGTCGGGCGTACAGAGACGGTGCACATTCGTGCCGAGGAGGCGAGACGGCGGGGGCTACAATGACCGTGGAGATCGCATGAATGCAAACGGAGACAGCAGTGCTGCGGACACAGAGCTCATTGACCTGAGCACGCTCCTCGAGGAAGCGGTGTTACAACTCCGCCCTGAGATGCCGCTCGAGCTCGTGGTCAGCATGTTCCAGAAACTGGTAAGCGTCTTCCTCGGATATCTATTTAGACCTTCTGCTGACGCGCACGCAGAACCTGCGGCACGTCCTGCTGTCGAAAGCGGGAAAGCTAACGGGGATGGTGACTAAGACGGACATTGTGCACCTATTCACGGCCGACTTTGCGTACACGGGTGCACTGGCGAAACAGGTGGACTCAGACTCGCATTAGACTTTATCGGTACCATCCGGTCGTCGAGGAGCAACTCTGCTAATTTATTGTACGCCATTCTACATGTTTGCTACTGTATTTCCGAACGGGTATCAAGCGGTGGTCCTGAGAATGTAGAGGTAGTAATGGAACGCCTCGCCCAGAGCGCGCACCTCGAGAGTGGTATTTGGGCGAGTGAGGTAGCGCCGCCGGAAGTGGGGCTGGCCGAAGGTGAGATAAATGAACGTCCCGCCAGGGCGGAGCACCCTGGCGTTCGCACCGGTGATTATCAGCCCAGTTCGAGTATGCATCGGGCATGGAGGCGTACCGGAGGACCTCGTCAACTTCGCGGTCGCAGCTTTGGACGACCTCTTCGGGGGGATCCTAATCTGTGGTTAGGGCCAGCGGCGCACGTGTGCTAGAAGGAGACGGGGCGCACCCAGACGTCGCCTTTGGCGGTCATCATGGCGTCCATTGTGCCCTTGTCGATTGCGATGTCGAATGAGGCGGAGGGGAAGGTTAGGGAGCGGATGTCCATTTCGTGCCCTGCGGGTGAGTGGGGGTTAGTAGGAAAGGAGGGGAGGAAGAGGGAAGGGCGTACATTCCATCTCGGGTCGCGTGGAGGCGTAGCGATGGTGCATTTTGGAAATGAGAACGCCGGAGTACTGGGTAGGTGGGAGGGGAAGTGGGCGAGGGAATGAGAATGAAGCGACAATGCGAAAGGGAAAAGGACATACGTCAATGTTGACGATGTTCCTATATCCGTCATCGTACATCTGCATCGCTGTATGAGAAACGTGAAGCAAGGCATTTGGAAGCTGGAAGCGCACCTCCTCCGAGAGCTTGGAGTTGCCGCATCCGAGCATGAGGATGCGTGCGCCCTTGTCGTGGATGAGTTCGCGGAAGATGGGTGCAACGTCCGCGTAGGACTTGAACCAGTCAAACGACGCGTTCTCGGGCTCCCTTGCGCGATCCCAGCGTGAGCGACGTGCGCCTTGCGCCCACAATACACCGCTGACACTACAAACACGATACAATAAAATCGCACGCAAAAGTCTGTAAAAAATCTTCGGGTAATTAGTTGAAACCGTGGAAGAATAGATGAAACCGCGGATAAATAATGAATCGGGATTTTGTACAGACTTTTGGGTGCGATTTTATTGTACCATGTTTGTAGTGTGATGAACAACGCCCTCACTGGCTGTATCGCCGGTCCCTGCGCAAATCTGCGTTCGCCTGGTTATACGAGCTAGTATTCTGCGAGTGTGCTTACCAATACTCCTTGGTGCCGTATGCCTCGTTCTTGTCAGGGAGGACGTCCATGTTCGTAATGCGGATGATGGCAAGGACCGCGCTGTGAGAAAACGAAGCGCGTTGGCGAGCATCCGGAGCGGCCGCGATCAGTTCTTTAGTCGGCGGATCACATGCCCACACGTTTAAGGCGGCAATCCCGAGCCCCTGCCTTGATCATTGCGCAATTCACCGTCGCCGTCGCCAACGCCCACATCCACCCGGACACCGCCTCCACCAACGTCAACACCATGGTAGGCATTGTCCACGATACCTCGCACGACGACCAGATACTGAAAGTTTCCCTGCACAGTCTGCCTACCCCGCGTACATCATGGGCACCCTCTGCATCGTCGGCGGCATCACCGGCTACGCGCGCTCGCACAGCATCCCCTCTCTCGTCGCAGGCGCCGGGTGCGTGTCCGCTTCTCTGCCGTAGCTAGGACTTCCAAACTGACCTGGTGAACTTTCAGTGTGGGAGCTCTCTACCTCTTCAGCGCGAACCAGATCCGTACTGCGGCGCCCAATGGACTGGAATACGCGCTCGGTGCGTTATGATGTCTCTACTTCATCCTGTTCCGCCTGGCTGACAATGCCCTGCAGGTGCCTCTGCTATCCTCCTCCTCTCCTCCCTCCCTCGTGTTGCCAAGGGCCCCGTCCCTGCCGTCCTCACCGCCACCTCCACTGCCACCATCCTCTACTACGGCAAAAAGGTCTACGATATCCGTTCATGATGTGCATGTACGATAGCTATACCCTTACATGGTGGAAAGAGGGCTGGACGTCTGTACGAAGTATTGTATGATATGCTGTGCTGTGTTACTGCTGCTGCTGTCGAGTTGCTGCATCTTGTGTAATCCCTGCGCTGTGATGTATACAACGAATATTCTTGGCTTCGCAAGCATTGTGCGAATTGGGAAGTGGCGCTTCCGTGATACTCATATCTAGTAGGTTATAGCCTGCGATACATGCGCCAAGGCACTTTCTATCGATACACTTTTGACCTGATCCATCTTCGCAGCTCATCTCCAATCTTCAGTTCTCAACCGCTGCACTTGAACCTGCAGAGTGCATCAGCAACAACTCTTCACACCCAGCAAGAGCCTCACTCACCAATTCGTCCTACAACGCACCTCCACCCATCAGCTCACCACCCCACCACCACAATTCACCAAGAGCAAACCACTCACCTCGCCTCGACCGCCTCCCTCCTCACCACGCGCTTCGGGTCATCCAGTGCCCTTGCCAGCTCGCGCAGCACCCCTGCCTTGTGCGGGTGCAGCACATCATAACGCACCGTCCCCGGCATCGCCGCCAAGAACCTCAGCGCCGCGACGCGCACGCGCTATTCGCCCGATACACCATCAGCACACCTGCCACAGCACACCTAGGAAAGGGAGGGGAGGGACGTACCACCGACGGCATCTCCACCACGATGCAGTTCCTGAGCATCGTCGCCACGAGGCTCGACGCGTGCTCCGCGATCACGCCGTCCGCGCTGCTGACCTTGCCCTTGTCTTTGCTGTCCGCGTCCTTCTGCTCCGCCGCAGCGAGTAGCGTATCCATCACGCTCGCGCGGATCTCCGTGTCGGGGAGGTCGAGTCCGCGCAGGAGGAGCGGCATCAGCTGCGGGAGGGCGGGGTTCAGCCCATGGCCTACGAAATCATGCAAGAAAGAGGACGACACACCATGCTCATCTGATGTGCATATATCGCCCTTGGCACGGCCTTGATGAGTGACGTGAGGGCGACGAGGTACGCGTTCTGCTGCGTCGGATCTATATGAATGGTGCGCACTATCAGCCTTGCTAGCGACGTCCATCGGCACGATGGGCCTACCTGCAGACGTCTTGGCGCCCTCTACGATCCGCGGCAGGACGGCATTACAATATCTCTGAGCGTACAGTATCTGTGCGTGTTGCGGAAATCCTCAGCCACCAGCCGAGCTTTAGGAAAGCTCCCGCACGTACCTTGATCACTGCATGATTCCGCTTCGTGAGCACCTTGTCCGCGCTGACGACCCGGCCCAACGCCCTCGCGGCATCCCAGCTCACCGCCTCATCGCCAAAAAGTGTGAACAGGCGCTCCGCGTGCGCCATTGCTCGCGCATCGCCGCGCACCAGCTGGGCCTTCGTCATCTATCTGGCGTTCAAGTCGATCCCTTTATATGAAGGAAACATGAGAGGACGCACCCATGCCCACGTCGCGAGCGCCTCGCGTCGCTTTTCCGCAGGAAGGCTGGACTCTGCGATTTGCGCCGCCCAGAATGCGTCCAGCCTGTCATTGAGGAACGTTTCTATGCCTGCACATGCACATGAATGAGTACGCGAGTTCCAGGTGGGCGATGTGTCTGTGACGCACCTTCGGCGTGCTTGTTGATGATGGATGCGAGTGAGTGCGTGATGGCATCGCGCTGCAGGGCATTGTCTGCATGCTGGACAGACCATTGGAGGAGGGTGTTGAGGAAGGCAGGCTCGGAAGGTACTGGGAGCTTGACCTAGAGTTGCTTGGGTAAGTGACGGATGTGGGGGAGATGGGGTATGCTTACCTCCTTTCGCATTGCGATAATGGCCGCGGAAAATAGGGCGAGGAGGTTCTTCTGCACAGATGGTGCGTCCGCCTGTCCCCCAGGGTCAGATTTATTCTATCCTACGAGTTGGATGCGACTCACGTGAAAGGGATCGAACCGTCTGTCGGACGGTATTTTCTGATGACCCTCCGCGAGCTGCTTGACGTCGCCCTGCAGATATCCTGCAAACAGTATCATTACAAATGTCTCCTGCCGTCTTCAGTGTTATCAGCACTCATCCTGTCAAATCGTAACCACACCAACTCACTGCCCAGGCAGCGTCTGCATGACTAACGTAACGATCTGCGCCGCAACAGCCACCAACCTCGGGTCCGTCGCGACCATATACGTCCCATCTGCCACAAGCGCCGAATACACAAACAGATTGAACACCCGCGGCACCAGTCGGTCGATATACTTAATTACGTCCGTATCGCCGCGTTCGACCTTCGACGCAAGCACGTCCGCAAGCGTGCGTAGCACCGAGTGTGCGTACGCGGCGCTTGGCTCCGGGTCTGCCTCTGCCTCTGCAGGTGCAAGTGCAGGCACGCAGATGAGGTCGAGCTTGGTGAGCAGCCGTACGACGAGCGTCTCGAAGAGGTCGGGCTGCTTGCAGAGCTTCGATAGAGACGCGAGTGTGCGCCAGCACTTGATGCGCTCGAATTGTGCCTTGCGCGGAGGAGCGGTGTCCGGAAGGGAGGCAAAGAGGAGCGGGAGCGTCGTCTCTGTGACGTGCCGGGGCGCGAAGGAGGAAGTGTCGACGAGCAGGTCGAGGGCGGACTCTCTGGAAGACGATGCATCAGAACAAGATGAGATAATCGGAGGATGCTTGTGCATGAGATAACCGACCTGACATCATCGTTCTCCTCTCCCTCGCTCTGCAACAGCTCGTTCACGTTATGCACCGCGAACGCCAGCTCCTCGTCCGTTAGCAACCCTGGCGTGGTTACCATACCTTTCAGGCCGTCCAGCGCAGGCTGCGCCGTGGACGCGGTCTTGAGACCTACCGTCAGGACGCCCAGGACCTCGTCTTTGTACGATGCTAGCGGGACGCCGGACTCCTCGGGCAGGACCTCCAAATCCTTCTGCATCGAGTCCCGTGCAGCCGCGATGAAGTCGGAAAGCAGGCGCAGCGTCGGGGCACGGTTCGCGATCTCGTCAGGATCGTGGAAAAGCTTGACGAGGTGCGGTGTCACTCGCGAGAGGGTGTACTGGGCGACGGAAGCTGTGAAGGGAAGCTTTGTTAGTACAGAGTGGAGCATATTCGAGGAGAATGTAATGTACTAACGAGTAGTCGCCATGAATGCGCAGAGGACCTTGATCGCAGGTTTTGCCTGGCTCTTCTCCGGCTCTCGAAGGATCTGAATGCACTCTTCACATGCCTCCTTTGCCAGACCTTGTAAGTCTTCCTTGTCCGATTGGTTCTCACTCTCATCGGTAGAGTAGATCGTCTGGATTAGCACCTGAGTCGTCTTCAGTGCTGCTTCTTCCGTTGCGCCATCTGTCGGTTGGAAAATCTGCGGGACGTTAGGAACTTCACAAAGGAGCGTACGTTTCACCCATACCTCGAGCTTCAACGCATTCCAGAGCTTCCGAGCGTTGTTTCGTGCAGTAGCTGGGCCATAAATAGGGAGACATGAGTCCATCGCTTGTAATGTGTCTCTCTTCGAAATCACTGTTGTAATTGATGCCTTGAGCTGTAGAAGGGGTGCAAAGCGCTTACCTTTGTGATCGGAGAGCCAGCCATCAGCTTTTCGAGGAACAAAGGAATGGCTAGCGACCCAAAAGCTGGTGTCGCGTTTAAGCATCCGCTATGCAAGACCATCTACGTCTAGCACACATGGAGAGAGAGAAGGCCACGCACCTAAGCGCGGTTTTGAGATCGTCCGTTTTGATACCATATGGATCGTCCGGCGGTGGTCTGAATGTAATTGGGAAGTAGCAGAATGTGATGTTGAACAGATCCTGGATTTAAGTTTCAGCATCGCCATCTTGGCTGGGATCTGAGGATGACCGACTTCGATATGAGCGGAAATGTCAAACTCGAGCAATAGCACGCGATTGATGGCGAACGCTAGGAGCAGGTTTCGAGGATCCTTCTCTCCCTCTGCAAGCGAGATGTAACCTGCGAGAAATTCCTTGCCCATGCTCTTCAACGCTGCGATCATGAGGTTAGCGATGTTAATATTGGCTTTCGTGGCAAGTACTAACCATCCCGATGCTTTGCGACGAGTGTGTCAATAATCTTGAACACCAAGAAGCGTTGAGATTGTACAAGGGCTTTCATTTTAACATGCTGTATAAGTCTAGCCCATCTGTTACCTCATCAGAGTTCTGTAATAACTCCAACACCACTCACGCCTTCACCACTTCCACCGCATCGGTGGAAGTAAAATCCGGCAGGGCAGTTAGGGAGACGAGCCCCTTCAGAGCAGGAATGATTGTCTCCGTGTCTTCAAGCTTCCCGCAGTAGAAGTTCACTAGGACGCGCACTTTGAAGCAATGCATGCGTGAGCCGAGAGAAGAATCTCACTTGCACCGGCGCGAGATATGCGCACCCGACTGCCGGCCAAGTTTCTCTGGTGGACAGCGTCCTAGCACGAGAGACAACAGTTCAACACCTGCCGTTTAGATATGATGAATGAGCGCACAGGAACAGAGGTATGGTGTTTGTGAATCACCCTTGGTCCGCATTTCGTCTTCCTCGCTCGTGAGGTACTCCCCCAGGGCCTTTACGACATCCAAAAGTCGAGAATTACCATTGCTTATTTCTAATACAAGCATCAACTTCAGTCACATCTCACATCCGTTCATAAATGAATTGGCCGTACCAGATACGATGGTATCTATCTCCTCTGACCTTTCCGATGCTATCCATGTGCGGATCGGGCGCTCCAAGCTCTCCATGCTGATCTACTTTCGTGCGCAAAGGTCAGAACGAACCGAAGCGCAAGTCAGGAGGGAAAGTCGCGATCGAGAAGCGCCCGATCTCACCTCAGCCTGCATCCAACAACCCGGAGGACTGTGCAGCGTACCGCTCGCATTTCATGGTCGCTCTGGCCTCCTCCGGCACCAGGGCCCTGCTACACAAATGTCCTAGACTCTCCGCCCGCCTCTCCTCCTCCTCCCACCTGCGTTCCGGCCGCAAAGCACCCGACAAAATCAACTACAACACTCGGATATCTTTCGACGACGCCCCTGATGCTGAACATGTCACATACAAACGCGTCACCGCGAACGATCTCGAGCACTGTCACGAGCCACCGCGCCGCGTCAAGATGCTCGTCCGCGATTTCATAGAGGACTCATTGTACAATCCGCATTACGGGTATTTTCCTAAGCAGGCGGACATCTTCACCGCCATTGAACCTATTGACATCTCAAAGTTGGATAACGTCGTACACTTCCAGGCGGAGGTGGCCGAACGGTACGCAGCATATGGTCCCGACGGTGAGGGACCAGGAAGGCAGATCTGGCATACACCAACCGAGTTGTTCAAGGTAAGTGTGCTGCTCATGGCTCTCTCCGTCCCGACTGATGTGTCGCAAGCCATGGTACGGCCGCGCCATCGCCCAATGCCTTGTATCTGAGTACCTGCTCAAGTATTTCCCTTACGAAGATTTCATAATATACGAGATCGGCGCAGGCAACGGCACGCTCGCGCTCGACATCCTGGACTACCTGCGCGAGCGGTACCCCGAAGTGTACGAACGCACGCGTTACAACATCATCGAGATCAGCGGCAACCTCGTGCAGCTGCAGCGCAAAAAGCTGTGTGGCGTGCACGACTGCGTGAACGTGGTGCACAAGAGCGTCTTCCGCTGGGACACGCTGGAGCCCTCGCCGTGCTTCTTCCTCGCCATGGAGGTCATCGTGAGTGCACCGTCCCTGCGCCGCTGAATCCTACCAGATAGTGCTTCCTTCCAGGACAACTTCGCGCATGACATGATCCGCTACGACCTGCGCACGCTCGAGCCGTACCAGGGCCTGATCACGATCGACGCGCACGGCGACTTCAGCACGTACTACACGCGCGTAACCGACCCGCTCATCGCGTCCTTCCTCGCGCTGCGCCGGCGGCTCATGCACGCGCCGCCCATCCCGCGCCTGCTCAAGCTCTCGTCCACGTTCCGCACGCTGTACACCAACCTGCCTTTCGCGCCGAACCTCTCCCCACCGGAGTACATCCCCACGCGGCTGTTGACCCTCCTGCGCACGCTCCGCCGGCACTTCCCGCGGCACCGACTGCTGCTCTCCGACTTCTCGTCGCTGCCCGATACGATCGAGGGCGTGAATGCACCCGTGGTGCAGACGCGGTACCGGAACGAGACGGTGCCGTGCACGACGTTGCTCGTCAAGCAGGGATACTTCGACATATTTTTCCCGACGGACTTTGAGAAGTTGCGGGACATGTACGAGGACGTGCTCGCCCAGCCACTCCAGTTGTCGGCTGCACAGGAGAACGTGCTTCCTCGGTCGCCCCTCTCGACAACCGCGTCGCCACTCTGGCTCGACAACAGCTTCTTCTCGTCGTACCGCCCGAAAAACGTCAGGCCGTCTACAGATGGCGCTCTGTCTGCGAGTGGGATCCCGGCGGGAGAGCGCAAGTCTGACGTATTCACGCATGCGGAGTTCCTGTCGACGTACGCGGACTTGAATAAGACTCGCTTGCGGAACGGGGAGAATCCCTTGTTGGAGCTGTATCAGAATGTCAAATTCTTGTTTTGACCGGATACGAGAACGGTTCACTTGATATAACAGTATTGATGAGTGCTCCGTGTAAGATTGATAAACTAGCACTGACCAGTCCGGCTGCGGTCTTGCAGAGAGGCCTCCATGCAGAGATGGGGGCTTGGTGCAAGGGTGTTGGGGCATGAACGATCCAGATGGCGGGCGGTCGATTTCAGGTCGTCCGGACTCAGCGAGGAGAGGTGATTCACCATCACCTATTCATTAGAATGGTAAAGGGGCCGAAAGAATTTTCGGACAGAGACGAGAAACTTGGGTTGCGGAATAGCTTGGCATGGGCCAGGGACACCCTGGGACACCGGCAGGGATAAAAACATACGTATTTTCAATATTGAAGAAACATCGTCTGGACCATGATTATGGGCATCCTCGATCTTCGTATTGAATCATAGAACTCGGAAGCCGAAATTTTACCAAAAAATGCACAAAATACGGTCATTATAAGAAGATGTAACGTTTGTAGGAGCGCGGGAGTGCAATCTCCGATCCTAATGAGACGCGGTGTGACAGGCTGTGACTGACGCGTCCGACTCAGCCACAGACGCGACAGGGGCCGGACTAGCCCCTCTTCCCCGAGGTACGTCTGAACCTTATCTGGAAGTATTGTCTCACGCGCTATGTTTGAAAACAGCGTTGCATGAGCGGACGTGTTGCACTTAGGACAAACTAACGGTCTGCGAACCATTCCAATTCGACAACATTACTACCAGCTCATTTGCACCAGCCGAACGACGGTAAACCTTCGTACGCATTCAGGCCGCGGAGGATACAACACAATACAACACATTAATGCAGACTTCAAAACATCACGACTTCGTGTTATGAAGCGTTCCCTGCTAGAACGTTCAGAACCACGTGTGCTTTCTCACACGTACTAGTCCACAACGTGGACGAAGGCTTAAGTATAGAATATACCTAACGCCTCCAATAGTCACACAGACTATTAGCAGGGTTTATAGTGTGGTCAAGCCTAGTAGACGATAGAGCAGTGAGGTCCTCACTCTACCCTTGCTAGGCCTTGGCCGCTACAGCTACTGCTCGTTCACCCGCAGGTTACTAGGTTCGCTGTTCTGACTCTAGCAAGCGTACGAGCTTACTACCTCTTGAGAGCGAGTACGATTGCACGAGGGTTCTAGAACTGAGAACGTTCAGAGTCACAGGTGGAAGAGGTTATCTTCCAGCTGCTGCTCCGCCCCTTTATATAGTCGCAGACCTATAGTCTGGGGTACTAGTACAAGGGGTC